GATCCTTCGTCAGTTGACTGCCAGGTGGGACTTAACAAAAAAAAAAACAATCCAACACCATCTAAATATGGATCTAGACTGGCAACCGTGCTCCCTTAGCCGATCGCATACACCTCAGAACGCCTGGCAGTTTGGCCTTCTCTCGCATGTTCTTTCTCGCCGCCTCTGGCCGTGGTCAGCGGCGGGGCACGCTTCCCGGGCCTTTATCATTGGCGGCGCGCGGAGCAAAGCCTCTCGGGCCCGGGCGCGCGGGGTGACCTCAGCCGACTCTGCGTCACGTCGCACTATCAGCACCGGCCGCCCACAAAAACGGCGGGCCGGCCTCGGAGCGGCGGCGGCTGCCGGCGCCGTCACCTGCCCGCCCTGCCATGTCTTTGTGCCGTGGCTGAGTCAACCGTGCAACAGTGCACAGCGCCGCACGGCCTGCCGCGCCGCGCCGTGCCACAGATGGTGCCCGGCTTTGCGTCCCTCCCAGCTGCCCCAGTTGGGCGTCGGTCGGCCGCCGCTACACGCCGAGGCTGGGCGCGTCTCGCGTGCTGAGGACCGGCGGCCGTCGCTCGCCGGCAACCGTGCGTGAGGAGACCGGACCCCTGGTGGGAGCCGCGCGTGAGGAGGGTGGACCGCTGCCACCTGGACACCGAGCATGTACCGGCGGCGACCCCACGGTAGGCAGCGACCGAGCCCGGGCTCCGGCTCTGACTCTGGCTCGGACTTCGGCTGCGTCTCTGGCTTCGGTTTCAGCTCCGGCTCCGGCTCCGGCGGCAGCTCCCGTCGTTAGGCAGGAGGTCGACTTGTCTCCGCCCCCCGCCAACTACTGAACGGCAGAGCGCTTCTTATCTACGGAATGATTGAGACGAGTCCACAGTGCCGCGGCTGCCATAATTGCTCAGCCTGTCGCCCTCATCTGGCGTGTAAATGCGGTTGCAGCGTTTCGGTCAGTGAACCCTCCGGCCCGTGTCAGATGTTCGTGACTCCTGGTAGGGACTAAATGGTGTTTGGCTTTCAGCTATGTTCGCATCACGACCCGAGGCTTCTCCTTGGCATTGCTGGGATTCAAACCGGGATCTTCTGAGTGTGAGTTTGGCGCCCCACCACTGGGCTATCCGGGAAGGACGATCTTTTAATGCTACAACTTGGCGTCTTCCGTCTCCGGAATATTCTGAGGAAGTGCTCGATATGTGGGGCTTCGAACTGAACCAGTCATTTCGAAGACCATTCGGTACATTTTACGGCCCTGCCCTTCGTAAGAACTACATGCCTCCAGTCTCTGGGCTACACGCACTTGAAGATGTGCAGACTATGTCGGGGAGATTGTTTCAAGGTCACCAAGACAGCCATGACGCTGTAATAACGCCATTAAAATCCTCCTATTTAATTGACCATGCTGCGATCAAGGCCAAGAAACATACAATGGTCGAGTCGTTTATATCTGGCGTTTGCGAGCGCGCTTTCGAGATATGACGGCTGTGAGTTGGTACTAAATCTGTGTTGTGCATGGCACCATGCAATAGTATATTGAGGAACACCTTATTAAACAGAGAAATTGTGCTTTCTAGACTTGTCTTTTTCACTTAAAAGTATACCAATAGTTGTAAGAGAGCTTATTTCATCATATCTCATGCCTGGTTCAGTATCTTCAAATGTGGAACTTCTCCTTTTAGACTCAAAACACTCAACAACACGCCCGCAAAGATTACTGACGATTAAGTTTAAGCTTTTTCGAGGTCATTTAAATATGCATGACGCCATAGCAATCTCGTTTAAATTCTGCCACCCTATAGACATGCGGCGTTAAGGCCACGAAGAATGCCATTGTCCAGCCGCTCAGACACGGACACAATTTCCAAATAAAGTGGCCGTCGAATAGCTCTCAGTCAATGCTGGGCCAGTTGTGCATGTTTTTATCACGATTTGTTGGTAGTTTAGCTTAGAGCCCTTACGGGTGGAACTGATCATTTCAGGGCTGTCATTTGAAGGATTTTCCGCCAATTGAAAGTCATATTTGGCTGATGATTTGGCTGATGATGATGATGTACTTCTTGGCCTACTGATAGGGCTGTTAGCCAATACCAAGCGTGCTGCCTCCTTGATGTTTTGAACCCTAGCGTTGATCTCTATCGATGGTGGTTATCTCCTGATGGTTATGGGAATCCCTTGCTGCTCGACGATCGCCTTCCGACCACGTATGCTTTGCCACGCCGTGACTTAGTCTCACCCCGGATGGCAGCATTTCGGTGCTCTTCCAGTCTGACCGACAGCGGTTGACTCGTTTCTCCTCTGTGGAGAAGCAACGATGAACGAGGATCTCTGTTTCTTCTTCGATGTGGCATGGCGTTACGCAGTTTTTAATATGCGCTTCAAGAGGCCGTGGCCTGACGCTGGTGAGTGTTCTCCGGATCATTGAGCTGCTTCTGATATCTGTCCTGGTGTTGTATCGTCCGAAATTCGTCTGAGCTCTGACAAGCACTCTCCCGTTGAGTCATCATTGCTGATGGTATTAGCGCGGTGTTGAAAGCCTCTTGCGATGCCTTCTTGGCTGCTGGTGTGACTAAAAGAAGTGATTGCGGTGGGTTGTTGTTTGTTTGCGATAGGGGTTACTGAGGTTATTTATAACAATTCCGACATTTTAGGCAGTTCGCTCAATTTTTCATGTTGGTCGTCTCTCAAGTTTTGTGATTATCGGCTATGCGTCGTCTTAGAAACGGACAAAAGGAGCAAACACGTATATGTGTGTGGTCCAAATCTCCCCTTACAAGGACTTTTTCACCCGCACTCATTGACGGCCTATACGGGGATTAAACTGACACGCGTCGACGGCTGTGAAGCAAGCTCCCACAATGTTGTGCCCATCCTAACACACGAGACGCGGGCGATGGTCCGAACCATTGCTCCATCCGCGGCGCTTCTTCCCGACGTGACGGCGCACCACTCCTTGTTATTGAGAACTATTCGAATCTGATATTCCTGACAACACACGGGAAGGCCCTTTCCCCCCGAGCAAATAAACCCTGAGTGACCTCCGGAACTATCGGCGTTGAAAGTGATTAGCACGACAATAATGTCGTTGATCGGTGCTTTTCCTGTATTCTGCTCAGAACGAATACCCAGCCATGACAGTGCGCATTGGTAGGTGAATAAATTTTGGTTAGACTGAGCTCATTTTATGTTATCCCCTTATACGGAATGGCATTAAGTTAAGTTATAATTTATCAACCCATTCTGCACCCCGGCCACCTTGTCCGTGCGTTCGAGATGCCCAGCATGAGGTGTGTTGACTTGGCGTGTTACATTCACGTTGTTCATTGTAGAAGACGTACTTTCCTCTTTTCGTCGAACAACGCTTTTTCGCTTGCAGAGTGCACATTCATGAAAACCAAATTAACCTTGTTTTCTAGCAGGAGCCCTAACGACCGGCAATGTTTTTGTTCCTGCAGCTGCGCTGCGACCTGTTGTCAGCACTCCGAACCCTGCAGAGCGTGCTGTATCCGACGACTTGCAATTCGAACGTGCCGTATTGGCTGCATTCGAAACAGTTCACCGCGTTCCAAAACTTGGCAAACTTAATGGGCTTACTTCGACTTTTGCATGTCTATCCAAAGAATGGTTGAACTTTCTTTGATTCCATATGTGATTTCAGGAGAGATGTTTGAGACGCACATTGTGAAAGAGCACATGGTGTTAGGACGACGTGGCCGTCCGTTGTTTTATGATTATACCCGTCCAGTGTCTGGCGTAAGCTATACGTTTGGAGCGTTAGTTGTGTCATTTACGCCTCAGTCACATTTGGATGATACACGATACAAATGAACTACTAGGGACGGATCAAGGCGCGATGAGGGGAGGATGTTGGAAGCCTGTCATTTAGGTTTTGAATCCACGCAATTTATGTTTGTTGAAAACATTCTTTCTAAATGTTTTTTTTTGCATTTGTCATCCATCTCTTCGCAAAGTGGGTGGTGTACGCGGAGAAGCTTCAATTATTTGTGAAATCCAGGTACTCCTCGCGTTGTATATCCCTGCAATCGACACTGGCAAACAACAGGGCTGTGTGCATTCAATAATACGTCGGATAGGCATATGCACACATATTGTAATGCGATGCGTGTTTCGGATGCAGAAAACAATAAAATCAAACATATCATTCTAACACCATCTTGTCTTCATCTCAGTGAGCGCTTGCCAACATGCCAATTGACATGCCAAAAGATAGTCCACGTATTGGTCACTTTTTAGTCCCCATGACGCAGAACAAGTCCGGAAAATGGCAAACGTCTGGCTCGTCGAATTGACGCTTCTTGGCATACAATTCCGCAAGGAAATTGTATTTAAGAGCTATTCAACTTGAATACGAAGATAACCCTGAGGTTAGTGCCATGTTGAGCCAGCCTGATTGCTTCCCTCCGAGGAAAGTCTGCTGCAGGTGGCTGCATTACCTTGTGGAAGCGCTCGTTGAATGAGTCATCAAAACTGAAACGCCTTCATGTGATTACGTGAGCTGTTCTTTGGTCCTCGAAGGTCAACACACAGCGAGGGCACTTAACACTGTCATGGATGGGGACATTTTATATTTTATAGTTCTGGAGGACGTCTGATATTTTATAGTTCTGGAGTACTCATGATTTCTAGCATCACGCCTGACATATAGTTTCACGTCATGCAACGCCATCGATTTTCTTGATATGGACGTTGGAACTGGGAAGGGGAGAGGGGGTGAGGGAGGCAACTGGTTCCACTTTTCTTGAAGGCTGAATGAATGCCTATGGCGATGCATTCGATGTGTTGACCTTAAACTATTCAGTATCTTCAGTCTTTTTCACATAACCCGCTGCTGCTGTACCCTCACATATATCTATGTTAAAACCTGCGGTAAGCCAGATTCGCCATTTCGACTGTTACAGGCACAGCTTGAGAGAACCCCTCCTCGCGGTAGTGACATGTCCCCCCTGTTTGCAGCAAATGGCCGGCCACGGACGGCTGACCTGGCCTTGACCTCTGGTCAGGTCACGCCGTACTCTCGCCTCATCAGTCAGCTTCGCAACGATGAACGTCTGATGAAGGAAATGACCCTGGGGAAGCGGGTGGGCTTCTACCGCTTCTACGGTGACCTGGGCACGGGCAACTTCTCCCAGGTCAAACTGGGTGTGCACCAGCTGACCAATGGTAAGTGGCGCGGGTAGCACGCGCCTAATCACCGCCTCCATGGTCCATGTTCGGCGCAGATGCATGCAGCGCGCTGTCACCGTCTGTTACGGAGCAGTCGTCGTCAGATGTACCGAGCTCTGCCGGTCTTCTAGCCGCTCTGGCAGCACCGTATTTGTTTGGTTTGCGCTATGATCAACATTACCCTTGTCCTGCGAGGGCGGCGTGGGCCTCCAGAGCGCCGCTAAGATTTTGCTGATATAGCTTCCCGGCGGTTGCAATAAACACAGGCATGATAAATTGTTATATAGTGTTTAAAAACAGGAATTCGAAATTTCGGATGCCTGACAGCGTTACACATCCTATGAGAATTGTAAGTTTCTGATCTGAATGCTTTACAATCTATTAACTGCTGTCCCGAGGTCATATCAAAGACATTTTGCTCGAGATGAAAAATATGCTTATTTCCGTCAGAATATGAACTCCAAAGATGTTTTCTAGGCATTTTAGTTATGCTGCCGCTCCGAAGTACATCAGTATCGTTCCGATATTTTTTGTGGGCCAGGCTATACCCGACCATGGTAAATAAGACTGATATTGGCGACTCTATTTTAATGCTTCAAGGTCATAGCATTTAACTTTAATGACACTTTTCTCACGGTGTGAGAAGAGCTTTCTAACCCTGCTCTTCCTGTTGACATGGCCGTTAGGTTTTTGATATAGCCATACGGACCAATGCAACAAACGCACTGTCCCATTTGACTTGACATGACATATCACAGGTCACATGTGTCAATGTCCCCTAGTGTCCATTTGTTTTTTTTAGAGATCCATGGTTTGATGCATCCGAGAGGCATTCATCTGAGCCTTCTTATGCATTGTCACAGCACGTTTAGTTTGAGATGACAGATGTTGATGACAGGTGATGGAAGTTGACGAGAACTTCCCATTGCCGTTTTCTGCGTGACTCTTATTTGCTTAGGTCTTGAAATCTTAACTGGGCCTCTATCAACCCAACCATCATGGGAAATGAAAAACTCTCGTAGGGAGAGTGGAAGAGGAACATCGTCCAAGGATCCCGCCACGATGCACGTTTTCCAATGGTCGCGTCCTTGCCCTCTTCAGTGGAATCAACTGGCCAGACAAACCGCAAACCACGTGGGCGGGGCGGCTGGACCATGTCACTCCTGATGACGCTAGGCGTGCCGCAAAGTCCACACGGTGACGCGTGGGCGGCTCCGCCTTCGTCAGCGCCCCCAGCTGGCGACCGTCCGACGCGCAGCCGTACGGCCTGATATTCATGCCAGCGCCGTCTCACCTGGGTCGGATGCCTGCGCCGTCCAGGGCTGCCGGGGCGGTGCCGCTACGGAAGCTCAACGCTCGTTGTAGATACACAACACGGCACAGCACAACCGCACACAACACGGCACAGCACGGCCGCACACAACACGACAGAGCACGACCGCGTCATCGCGTGTAGGCGGTGGGCCGATGCTATCAAGACGGGCGGCACGGTGAAAGCACGCCAGTGTAATCAAATATGAAGTCACCCATCAACGCTCAAAGTGAAGTTTGTCGTCACCGTTACTGTCTTGAAAAACGCATGTCTGGCAAAACACGTTCACGGTCGATGCAAGTGCAGTCTTGAAGACGGCGAGCGCGCGGGCTCTGTGGCATTGGAGAGCCATAACTTGACTGGACATAACACAACTTGACTTGGTTAGCGCCGCTGACGACACCACGGGTCATTCCGCGTGGCTGTGACAGCCAGCAAGCAGGACCACTGCAGCGCCATCCGGCCGGTGATATATGAGTGATGCCGTCCCAGCGGGGGTGCCGCTCCTTCCAGCCGTCCCCGCCGGCCGGGTGACCCCACACACTCGAGTGGTGCCGTCCCAGCGGGGGTGCCGCTCCTTCCAGCCGTTCCCGCCGGCCGGGTGACACCACACACTCGAGTGGTGCCGTCCCAGCGGGGGTGCCGCTCCTCCCAACTGTCCCCGCCAGTGGCAGCCGCCAGCAGAGCGCAGGTCAGCCGAATGGCCCAAAGCCATGCCATACGCGCGTCAGTCGTGCGTGGCAAGCCACTGGAGAGCAGGGCGCAACAGCGGGAACAGGCGGGCCACCAGCGGGGGAGGGGGAGGGGGATAGCGACACAGCGCGTCGCAGAAGGACTACCCAGGTCATGAGGGGGCTGTTGGCAGCGTCAGGTGCTGCAGGCGGTCTTGTGTTGCTGGTCTGGGAACGTAATGAAATCGATGGGCCAGACAAGGCGGTAGTGCTTCCCGATCTTTTAGCATTCCCAATGGTATAAAAACGTAAAACATGGATTGCTGCTACTTCCTTTGGAGGGCCTTGTATTTAATGGATGGCTAACGGCAGGTCCTTCAGTCTACTTGAACAGACCAGGTGACTGTGTGCAATGTTGGTGCAATAACACTCCGATATCTACATCGGGTGTTTGATGATGGATTGTCCTGGACGACTAGCATTACCCAGTCCCAAGTATTGGACTAGGCCGCTGTTTACTCATGCGGCTTAGGGGGACGACAGCGTAGCATTTCGGACGCGAGGCACAGCCACACTTTATGTAATTATCTGACCCCAAATTATTCCGCCGGCTGACAGAACACGCGGCGAGCGTGAGAGCGCCACGTTAATGCTCACGATACGTCCACCGCGGCCGGCACTTTAATAACCCGCTTTCAGTGCCCCAGGAGCGATCCAAATTAAGCAGACACGCGGCGGCCGCGGCCCTGGGCGCCTGTGTCCCTGACGGCGGCGTGGGGCTTCCAGCGTGAGCCGGCGCCAACTATGGCTTTCGCTGGCGTGCGATATACGGCTTGCGAGGCCTAGGACGGCGCGACCGGCGGACGCGTACGCCGAATATAAACGCCGCCGATCGTCGGCGACGGCCGAGCGCTGCCTGCTGTTGTGGGGCTGCCGACACGCGGCGCGCACAGAAGTGACAGGCGGGCGTCACGGAGGCCGCGGTGACGGCGAGGCCGGAGCGGCCGAGTGGATTTTCGACCGGCGGATCGACCCCACGACCGTACAATCCATACCGGCCAAGATGTTGCGTCGGCGTCTGGCCGGCGCAACGTGTTTCAAATACAAGAAGCGCTTAGCGTCGCACGTTCAGAAGAAATGCTTTGGCGTGGTACTGGGGAGATGATGGACAATGGGGAGCACAGGTTTAGCAAAATGTAAATCTGATGCAAGTCCCTCACCCCCACCCACCCACCCACCCAAAAAAGCAAATCAACGGATATGGTTCACTTCATTTCGAGAGAGCATAGTTCTCTTCTTATCTTGTTTTCTTGTTAACTGAAACAGAAGCCAGCAACTAACTGAAACAGTCACCGCCGGAACATGTCACCAGAAGACAAAATTCTGTTAGGAATTTGAAGCCAGTCAGTTGACAGTCATTCAACTCAGGAAACCAGGCATTAAATGGCTGAGTCGAAAAACCACCGGTGCTATTAACTTTGCAATGGTTTGGTGGAATGAAGGTACCCCGTTTTAGTTCCGAGGCAGAATGAAGTGGACGTAGATTGCAGATCGAAGTGAGATAAACATTGTATCGATTTATATATATTTATATATATATATATATATATATATATATATATATACATGTCGATGCAATGAATGGTCATATATATGTGGCCATTCCATGTTCGCTTGGGGTGCTCAACTTTTTAAGAACCGAGTAACGAAAGATAGTGTAACGTGGTTTTAAGCATACGCGCTCCTGAGCCTTGAAAAACAAGCGCCTGACGTTACAGTCTCCATAAGTAGGCGGGATCAGCCTCACAACTAACACCAGGCGGCAGCCAGGAGACGGAAGAAAGAGATAACGTATCTGAAAGGAACACGTTTGAACGCTTTATTACTTCAATTCCCACGTTTAGAAGGGGTTCCTAGGGACACATTTCATATGTGCGATTTTTAGACTGATAGTGAGAACGGATTAGCATTCAAAGCACCGCGAACTAATGCTGGAATCTGGTGGTGGGACTGGAAACACAAAGGCAGAGCTTCGTTTTGTCCTACTCCTGTAACTGTTAATCTGCTCAGAGGACGACCAAAAACGACATAGTATGCGCCTCAATATCACTTTTAACGGGACAAATTGGGTCCAAAATCTTCGGAAGCATCATTTGACAACGGTCGCCCACCCGCGTCCGGCGCGCGCCGCCTGGTGTGAGCTGCGGCTGCCGACGCTGCTCGGTCTGACAGAAACTGCGACCTTGGCCATCGGTGTTCCTGCTCCTAAGATTACCGACGCGCAGGCTCAACACTTTGTGGTATTAGTTGTTTCAAAATCGGTTCTGAAAAACGGTGGAAGTCCTCAGTCAAACATGAATGGGTTGAGCTCATTTCTTGCCTCATTTCAATCTTGCTCCTAGTTTTGAAACATCGTTTTCGCTGTTTATGAAATTATTCATGTTCGAAATGTGGGTCCCGCCGATTTAAGATCAACATGTTTGGCTTTCATTTTGGCCCATTGGATCAGAGAATGTTGGGGGGGGGGAGTGGTGGAATAAATCCCTCCATGTCAGGTATGATATTTCATAAGCACACGTAGCCAGAAACTCATTTAATATGACTTGCATTGCAGCACTATCAGCTCTGACTATTATCCACTTTCAGTTTTTTGGATGACCATGATCTAAAGAAGTAACACATATCTCTCAAGCAATTAGAGGCGCAGTTTGGATTTTAGTTGTTGCATTTTCACCATCTGTTTTCACCTAAGGTAAAATTTTGTCAATTGAGCTATAAACATAGAAACAGAAACGGCTCTGCCTAAACCTAGCAATATATGTTCTTCGCCCACGGCCAAGAGACAGATATGAACGCCCCAGCCTGCTTCTGTTATTTATGTCCCGCATGTGCCGCGTCGTTTTCTGCACGACGACGCGCCGTACGCTGTCTTGGTTATCGACGCAGGCACAGAGTTGCTGATACATATCAGGCACGTACACATACCAGCTCTCCCCTTGAACACATTTGGGTGTATCCGCGCGCCTCAGTGCAGGAGCACATGTATTTCGGGACAAGTAGACATTATAATCAGACAGAAGTAGACAGCGATGCTGGCGCTAGTTCGGTTGCCCATCCACGCTTTGCGTCACCGAGCCGCGGTGTAGGCCGTGCACGGCGCAGCTGAGTCGATATCGGCCCTGCTGTAGGCCGGCCGGCCGTCGGTGTTTGGGCAGTTTCTGGGCCAACGAAGGTCGGCCGAGCTCGATACGCACGGTCGTCGGCCGCGGCGGCCGGGACCGGGACGGTGCCCCTGACCGAGGCGACGGCCCGGCGGCCGCGGCCGGCGGATGGGAGCGGCCGGGCGCGGCGCGGGCGACAGCCGGCAGCCGTCGTTGCCCCGTGCGGAGCCGGGGGGCGCGCCAGTGGGGACGGTGCAGAGACCGGCGACCGCACAGCGCTGGGACTGCAGTCACACCCGACGGCCGCTTAAAGAGCACTCAGGGAAATCGGGCACAAGCTATGTCAGGCACTTGCCGATCGACTCAGTGCATAGCAGACATCAGCTGGCACAAATGTATGCGACGCTGGCAGGCCAGCGAGGCATTAGTGGTCATCGGTGGCAATGGGCCACTCCCCTAATAGTTCCTGTATCGACCTGTCGTGCCGTCATGGCCTCTGGGGCTGGTCCTTGTGTGTTCCCGGAGTGGTAATGCGGCGCTCCCTAGCTGCTAGCATATCTGCTTAAACTGCGCGACTGCCGCGCATGTGCGGCACTGCGGGCCTCAAATAGTGATAAGCCTTGAATATGAATATATGTTGGATAATTGGGTGGTCATGGTGCCTGGCTGATATAGCCAAGGAAGTATGGTATATGAGTGTAGATTAGCTGTGTGTATACAACCGATGTTACATTGCATCGTTGTGTATACAATCGACCATTACATTACCATTACACACTGGTGGTGATCTCGGCGCTTTGCGATGCACTTTGGATAACCGTGACTTGACGGCATGTGCATCGCAATGCACACCCTTTTCAAGATACCTGTTTGTTCGTACCTGCAGCATTAAAAAATAAAGCTATTCCGAATGGTCTATATGAGTGGTCTTGGGTTCAGAGTATCTGCTAAGCACTCTAAGCTTGTGCGTGTACCCAGAACCCATCACCCAAGTCGTGTCGTTCAGTTCAAGGAATACTTTGCCTCCACGCTCCCGCCAAACAGGGGTGGGGTTGTACGTGCCGCACAATGCTGCTGAACGGCCGCCCTGCACCAAGGTTGACCCTGGTTAGCCAGTTGCCAGGTGACCTTTCCATTTAGGTCGGGTCAATCAACGCGCCCGCTCTGAAACTCGTACCCAGTAACGCTGGATCATGAGTTCAGCATCTTTTCCAAGGCCACGGAGACGGAAAAATTAAAGATTCATTGCTTCTACAATTTTAGCGAATTTGATATATGAATAATTGTGATAGGCTCTGAATTACTGTAGGCAAAGCATAGTGCATGCACCTTTTGACATTAAGGTAGTGACGCAAAACAAAGAGACGGATTTCGCCTCTACCACGCTTTTTGCCTTAAACTTCTGCTGCATAAATGCTTGGAAACCAAAACCGAAAATGCTTAAACTAACTATTCATACAAATACAAAGCAATACAAAAAGGATCGGTATCGCAATGAACATGAAGGCCGAGCAGCTTGAGCCTGTGTACCCATCCCTGTTTTCACTGCCATTTCCGTTCGCAGAGCGAGTAGCAGTCAAAATTCTAAGCAAGGCCAAGTTAGACCAGAAGACCCAGAGAATGCTGGCTCGCGAAATAGCCAACATGGACAAAGTTCACCATCCAAACATCATCAGGTGAGATGAAGGAGTGAATGGGCAAAAAAAAAAATGGACGACGAACTGAAGAATCATCAGCGCTGTACGTGACAACCGCCCTTTTTGGTCGTTCAGATATGCTAAGTGGATGTACACCAGTCAGCACCATGTTGCCCTCTCTCATGCCTTGCAGGTATGAGGAGAGCAAATCGTTACTGGTGACACGCGAAACTAGGTGTTTTTTTATTAGAGCTCTTTCGACCAGAAATGATCGTTTCAGGGCTATGGGATGCAAGAAAATGGTTAAAGGTGGAGCAGACTCGCATGCGCCTGGAGGGCCAACCGCCGGGCTTCAACCCGCGCATGCGCGTTGGGCACCCGGTCGGGGTCCCCCTTCCCGCGGGGCTCTCGACCCACTCGTGGCTGACGCATGCAGCCTGCCCCGGACAAGCGGGGTGTTGCGAAGATGCAGAATGAAGCGAGATAGAGGATAAGAGGGACGGATGAAACTATGTGTGGGTATGCTAGCAAGATAAGCGGAGACATAGCGAGCGAGGAGGTGAGACATAAAACCTAGCGCTCGTTGCTCGACGTCCCGTTTACGCTGCGGTCGGGCAGGCTCGCTGGTGGTGTAGCGGCCCACTCCACACCCTGGTGGTGCGGCATCTCACTACACACCCTGGTGGTGCAGCATCTCACTCCACCATCGGGTGGTGCCGCATCCCACTACACACCCTGGTGTGCGGTATCTCACTCCACCCTCGGGTGGTGCGGCATCTCACGCGACCCGCTGGTTGTGTGACAGTTCACTGTGCTACTCAGGTGATGCGGCGATCACCTTACGCTCTGGTGTTGCGACAGTTCTCTAGGCTGCTCGGGTGGTGCGGCGGCTCACCTTACGCTCTGGTGGTGTGACAGTTCTCTAGGCCACTCAGGTGGTGCGGCGGCTCACCTCACGTTCTGGTGGTGTGACAGTTCTCTAAGCTACCCGGGTGGTGCGGCGGCTCACCTCACGCTCTGGCGGTGTGACTGTTCCCCATGCCGCTCAGGTGGTGCAGCGGCCCACCGGGCTCCTCAGATGACGCCGCGGCCCACCCGGCCTCTGCGCCGGACGCGGCCCGGTCTCGCTGCAGGCCAGCGGTTGAGTGGCAATCTAGCGGTCAGCGACTCCCGGCCCGTGATGCTCGCCCGGCCAGCAGTCGGGGCGCCCGAAGGCCCGCGTGCAGACGCTGCGATTTATGAGCTCATAAGTCCCCCCCCCCCTCCCGCAGTCGATGACGACCATTTTCACATTTACATAAGCGCGATATGCCATCGGCAGTCGGTACGCCCCCCCTCCCCCTCCGAAGAAGGCGCCGACTATGTACACAACCGCGTTGAAAGATCAATGTTTGCAAAATCCTCTCTCAGCCGAGTCAGTTAATGCGTTCTGGAGGCTCGTTTCCAGGGCATGTCTAGATGTTAGGTACAATCAATTTGCAATGCAAATTACTTGAAGACTTGCTACCACTTCAGCATAAGCATTACCGCCAAACCGTACATACATCGCTATGGTTCAATTACATTGTTATCGTGCTAACTCGATTGCGCCTCAAGGATAGCCCGTTTCCAATTCAGTGATGTTCGGTCAAAACATCCTTGATTATCTTACATCCCTTACCGTCTGATTGGACATAATTATGACCAAACCTTGCCCAAACGCAATGAAGTCTACTTTTACATTTAGCATGTATCTTATCCACAGCATAAATATTTTACCCTCCTATATATTCTGTGCCATTTCACGTGCACTTGACCAGCAGGCTTTTTCGGCGTTCCCAGCGGGCGGGGCGTCGGTCGGAGCTGGCCCGACACGACACGGCGGGCTGCGCCACCGGAAGTGGCCGCTTCCTGTGGGATTTCCCGCGGGACGGCGCCGGTACGGGTGTCGCCTCGGTCGCCGGTGCCGATCGCTGCCATCTACATATAGAGTGTGAGGCCGGATGCGGTGCCAGCGATGACATGACGACCGCGGCTTCGACCATCGACGCCACGTGGGCAGCCCCGGCGCCCACGCGCTCGCCTGGGCGTAAAGGAGGCGGACCAGCACTGCCATCCGTGCGACCCATGCACCAGCGTAGGCTGGTAGCACGTGTTGGGTTGGGTCGGATGTACCCCGCGTCGGACCCGCCCCCGGAAGCGGCGTGGTCCGGCCGTGCGGGCCGCTCAGCAGACCGGCTAAACCGCGCAAACTATGCGGGATGGAGAACAAGTAATGGAACCGTTACAAACTTCTTGCCTCGTACAGCCTGTAAATATCGTTTGCACATTTCCTATGCATATGACGTCATTAGTTGTCATCGGCGCAGCGGCGCCTTTGATTTGTGGTGATCAAACCAGTGTGGACGCGGCCAAACTGTAATCGGGAAAAGATGACCAGGATATGGTATTCCAAATAAAAAACGTGAGAAATCTGCATTGTACGGGTAAAATAAAAAAATGGGACAAAACCCATTCGTTTCTTTATACATTCATATTTATCTCGTAAATGACACTCAGCTTAGAGTTTATTTATTCCCCTGTGATGTTTTTGTGAAGATCAGAAATGCAAGATTAGAAGGAAGACGGATCCGGAGTCATATTGCATTCAACTTTTATTGAGTCTGCTTACCATTCTACCGGTAGAGCGCGTCTAACATAGTTGAACTAACTTCGGTTAGAAACTTCTAAAAAACGAATACCTACTGCCCGAAATCACTAGGCATATGGAGGAAGCGTTCTAATGAAGCAAGGTCGCTTCGGACCAGAGTTCAGGCCGAATCATGTTCAGTTATGCCAAGCTACTCCAGAATATTCCATCTCATATAATCTAGACCAGGCACAAGCCTCCCGAAATATGCATGGAATGAAACGGCATGCCGCCAGAACAATCCTGTGACCTGCGGGATGTGAGCTAAGGCTACGCAGCTCCTCAGGTCAGATCGCCCAGAGGGGCGCGGTCCGGAGTCGCCGGCCGCTGCCAGCCAGGACTCGGTCGCACTCCTGCGCTCGGCCTCGACAGCGTGCCCGCAGCCCTGGCCGTGACCCTGGACGTGACCGGCGCCTGTCCGCCCGGTCACCGGGCTGAAGACTGGCACGGTGGCGTGCCGGAGGTGCCGCGCTGATGAGGGGGGCATTGGCCGCCGGCCCGGGACTCCGCCGCACTGCACCTGACGGCCTCAGTCAAGGTCGACATCGATTGCAACGGACGGCCAGCGGCTCCGTGATGTGCTGTGAGCGTCAGGGTAGCGGCTTGGTGACGCGCTGCATGGTCAGGGCAGCGGATCTGTTACGCGCTGTAGGGTCAGGGCAGCGGCTAGGTGACGCGCTGTAGGGTCAGGGCAGCCGCTTCTTGACGCACTGTAGGGTCAGGGCAGCGGCTCGGTGACGCTCTACATGATCAGGGCAGCGGCTAGGTGACGCGCTGGGTGGTCAGGGCAGCGGATCTGTAACGTGCTGTGGGGTCAGGGCAGCGGCTCGGTGACACGCTGTAGAGTCAGAGCAGCGGCTAGGTGACACGCTGTAGGGTCAGAGCAGCGGCTAGGTGACTCGCTGTAGGGTCAGGGCAGCGGCTAGGTGACGCGCTGCAGGGTCAGGGCAGAGGCTCCATGATGGACGCGTGTTGACGTGACTCGCACACGCCCTGATGCTGGAGGGAAAGGCTCGCTAGAGTGATGTGAATCTTGGCATGCGCTTCCCAGCGTCGGGCGCTAGGTCTCGGCGTTTCCACGTTGCTTAAAATGATTGCTCATACGCAAAAACGTGCTGCCTCAATACATTGCTTTTGGATTGTTATACGAACATAGTTAAGAAACGAAAAAAAGTTAAGAAATATTTATGTCACACTTGTTATGGCGTGGCCCTATCGCTTCGTAACAAAGGTAAGACCGACGAGTTCACAGCAGCCGTCGCTGAGTGTCACATGGCAACAATTGCACGCTTTTAGGAAGTTTTCCCCTCTACCTTGCGGGCATGTGCGAATCACGCCGTCACACGTCAATCACGCGGACGCTGACCTGACGATCACAGCGCGTCACCGAGCCGCTGACCTGACGATCACAGCGCGTCACCGAGCTGTTGACCTGAAGATCATAACGCGTCACCGAGCTGCTGACCTGACGTTCACAACGCGTCACCGAGCCGCTGACCTGACGATCACAGCGCGTCACCGAGCCGCTGACCTGACGATCACAACGCGTCACCGAGCCGCTGACCTGACGATCACAACGCGTCACCGAGCCGCTGACCTGACGATCACAACGCGTCACCGAGCCACCGACCTGACGATCACAACGCGTCACCGAGCCCTGACCTGACGATCACAGTGCGTCACCGAGCCTCTGGTTTGATGCTCACAGCGGAAAGCGCATCACCGAGCCGCTAACTTGACCTTACAGCGCATCACGGAGTAACTTACCTGACGCTCACGGCGCACCATCGAGCCGCTAACTTGACCTTACAGCGCATCACGGAGTAACTTACCTGACGCTCACGGCGCACCACCGAGCCGCTAACTTGACCTTACGGCGCATCACAGAGTAACTTACCTGACTCTCGCGGCGCACCGCCAAGCCGCTAACTTGACCTTACAGCGCATCACGGAGTAACTTACCTGACGCTCACGGCGCACCACCGAGCCGCTAACTTGACCTTACAGCGCATCACGGAGTAACTTACCTGACGCCCACGGCGCATCACCGAGCCGCTAACTTGACCTTACAGCGCGTCACGGAGTAACTTACCTGACGCCCATGGCGCATCACCGAGCTGCTCACCTGATCTCACGACACATCACCCAGATAGATGCGTGGAAAGACGCGGTGCCTTTCCGCACAGATATGTGGAAAGACAGATGTGTGGAAAGGTGCGAAAACTGTCTTCTGGCTGTCTTCTCCTTTTTTCACATTTAATCCTTATTTCTGCCGGGAGTTTCACTTAATACGCCATTATGATTCTGCAAAGTTAAGGGCTTAGTGTAAGTCAATGCAATGGGAGGCCGATGCAATTAGTCACGATCTGTTGTTATTTTCATTACAGTAGTGTTTTATTACATGGTTTTCCAGCCGACTGCAAAGCACAAACGTCTTGTGGATGCCCGAACTGTCGGTGTGAACTCGTCTGCTCATTATAGAGAAAGATATTATTAGACAGATCTTCGGGAATTCCGAAGCCCCCTATATATTGGCATATTGAATACAATTTAGCAATTTGGGAGCAAACGAAGTAATTATGTTTGGCACGGAGCATGTGCGTACGCTTGTAGCACTATATGTGCGCCCACCTGTAGTACTTCACGTTGCTTATGCGTACATGTCGTATATGCAGGAGGCAGGCGAATTGTGGAGGCGTGTGGAACGAAGTTTTGCGGTACAAACAGAGAACGACGTAGGCAACTCTAAGCAATCGTATTGCTGTCTGCTACCTTAACGACACATCCTGAATCTCGCATAATTTAATACAAACTGACTTACTTGCAGTTCTTGAATGTTCTGACGTTCGCTCGGGATCTTTCCTGAACAAGAGAATGAAGGATCTAGATGGTTTGAAAGCACAACGTTGTGGTGGCTCTGGCGGCACTGCTTTGGTGGCCTCACCCCAGCTCTTCGGCAGGAAGATCCGCTCCAATTATGAAACGCTATCTTATCATTTTCCTAAACCTTGGATGGGTTCAGCCCTCAGCTCATCAACATAAGAAATTCCCGATTGTTAACGTCGTCATCAGGACCGTCATCGTGGCTGCCACTGCGATGAATTTCTCTCCAGTTTCCCAGCTTCACGGACCAAGTCTAATTTCTTTCCTTTTCATTTCATTTATTTTATGACGCAATCAAAGACCGGAATCCCAGACAGGATGATTCTGCTCGCAGACGGGCGCAATGGATTGACATATGGGTCCAGTGCGCCCATGTGTCCAGTGTGTCCGTCCCTTGCCGAGGTGTGAACGGAGCTGTGACAACAGCGCCACCCTGCCACAGGCTGTACGAGGTGCTGGAGACACTCTCCAAGATCCACCTGGTGATGGAGCATGCGCCTGGCGGCGAGCTCTTCCACAAGATCACCACCGAGGGTCGGCTATCAGAACGGCGGGCCCGGCCCCTAGTGGCACAACTGGTGTCAGCCGTTCAGCACATGGTGAGCCTCTGGTGGTGTAGCTGGCGTCCGCCGTCCAACACATGGTGAGCCTCTGGTGGTGAAGCTGGTGTTGAACGTCCAGCACATGGTGAGCCCCTAGTGGCGCAGCTGTTATCAACCGTCGAGTATCGACCGTCCGTGGTGAGCCTTTGGTGATATAGCTGGTGTTGAACGTCTAGCACATGGTGAGCCCTTAGTGGTGTAGCTGGTATTCGCTGTCCAGCATACTGCGAACCTCTCGCCCCAAACAGGGGATGGACACGTGGCTGAGGACACTCATGTTATGACTGCTGTTTGAGGCGTTGTTTTGTCGTATCATGCTGATTAACACATACCAGATAAAGAACCTACTAGATGTTGACCTACAAGCCATTTGCTACAGCAGTCGCAACAGACTATGACTATTGGTGGACGTGCTATGACGTTTTCAAGTGGGTGCGTCTTTTTAGGGCTCGGCACGATGACCGTGAATTTCGTTTTGTTTGTGATGGTAGTACACAGTCATCAGAAGTCATGCAAATAGGGAAAAATCACACAAAAATAGTTAACATTGAGGCGCCAAATGAGGACTTGGCCCGCTTTCAAGTGCGGGTGGCAGAGGCAAGCCTGGGGATGGGCGTGGGGCAGCAGAGGCAACGGGCTTTAACACTAATGGGGAACGAACACATGGTTTTGTCTCCCACACCGCCTGCATATCGCATGTCAAGTTTTGAGCCCCAGTGGTTACTGTTGGCGATTTAAGGTCGTGAGCTGTTCACCTGAACTATGTCCCGCACTGCACCATCCACGTACTCTTGCGGCTGTATCTTGTAAAAATGGGAATATGCTGTAAATTGCTCAGCACTGCTAATCCTTTTCGATCCGAATTATCGCGTATCAAGGGCTTCATACCAACCTATCTCGAATGTTGCGGAAACATGCGACCGCAGACAGAAAGTTTGGGCCGAGCCAAAGCCGTTTTGTTTGCCGTAGCCCAAGATCATTTTGCGATATGGGAATTAACTATGGTGCTTCGAATGGTGAAAGTTTTGTGACGATCGGTCCCATAGGCTCCGAGAACTGAGTGATATTCATACAAAGCATGTTTAAGCTGTGCAAAATGATGTTTTTAAAGCAAATCTAAGGTATCGTCTTCTCACACTGTCAAAATCCTAAACTCATTCGTGATGCATACTCTACTGAGGTTTTAGTGGTAATCGTTTTGATAGATCCCGAAGGCTCAGTAATATGCCAGCACATTGGTTTGTGATTTAGCAGGAGTGATGATATTCGTGTTAGTATTTGCCTATCAGCATCAGGTCATCGTATATAGCAAGTCAAACTACTCTGATGGCTTGCAATATCGGCACGTCGTTAAAAAACTCAATGCTTTGGTAGCAAGAGGTCTATCAAAAATTGGTCAAACTTATTATTTTTGACTTGACCGTGGGTCACGACTTTCAAATTGCTCAAGGAAATGAGCAATGCCGCATCGGATGGCGTTTTTTTTTCGAGTGATTGGCGTCATGATTGTTGCTAATGCAAGAAAACAATGTAAACAACCGCATGTCGTGTTCAAGAATAACTGGATGCTGGTCCAATAACTTTTGAGAATTGAGCTGAGCTGAGGGCACAACTGCGACCTTTGAAACGACCTTAGATCACCATCCATTTACAAAGGGATATAAAACAATGTTGAGTGGCAAAATGAATGGTAAAGGCTTCCTGGTGATCATTCATATTTGCTTTAGTCCCGAGACACACAAGTTATTCGTATGCAAGACAGGCCTCTGGCCACATGTTGACTTCGACCTGGCCTAGGCTACTTTCCTCGAAAGGCGACATGGAACCTTAAACAGTGCACTAAATGGCCAAAGTGTTGCGGGATTACTTTAATAGCCTTTAACAACCGAGATGTCCGTTTTCAGTTGAAAAAGACTCGCATTACAGTCATGTGACCTGGCTTAGGGGGCACCCACACGGCGCAGAGTTAGTCGGATGGTTGGAATTAAAGAATAAAGGCTTGGAGACCACCGGTCTGCTAGTTTTGGATCCCGGCTGCCACGTTGCTGAGCGTGTCCACCAGCACAACAACGGGACTGTCTGTCAGCGTCAATTATTCAGCTGTGAACGTGGCTATGTTTGTGTGTGTATGTGAACTCGTCGTGCCTTTCTCCCATTCTGTCAAATGCATGTATGCAAAAGTTTGCTTGCCCTTGCTCTGTCATGTCATTACCACTCACTGCCATTGCCAACGTCATGATTAAGAAACAATCGATGGTCTTTCACAGCTGCTACGTTTCACGGAACGTGCTCATAATCTGCGAAGTGCCCACTCATGTTTCCACATTTTGGTGGTGCGTGTTATTCCGCAGAAGACATGTGACCTGGCATGACGTCGCAGTGCACTATCCAAATCATTACAGACGTAATGGTGGACGTGAAACCATTAACTCCTGACTAAAAGGAGCTCATGTGAATGCGTGATGATGCCAAGCGTGCATGGTAGCGGAAAAACTGTCTTGATGACTCGCAACAGACACATTGTCTTTACCTCACCTCCGCTGTTAAATACCGCCATTCCAGCAACCAAGCTCAGCGGCTCAGTGCATGCATGTCCAATAGATTTTTAACGCGGCGTTTAACCTTATCTTGATCAAATGTGTATAGATCGACCGCTGAATTTCATTACATAATCGCTAACCTGATTGCTGAACCAACTTTTAATTGTGAGTGGGCTAAATGTCAGCTTAACGAATTAAAAGAACGATTTAACAAAAGCGGCAACCATACAAAGCCAATATATATTTCAAATACTTATAGGTGATTTAGATTTGACTTCCTATTTTTCCTTTTTTCTATGGAATTGTTTTGTAGATAATGACAGCAGTCGTTTCTGCTGCCGTACCTGAATTGTGGTTATGATGTGCTGGATGAATGGTCCATCCACTGCCACGAGTGCCACCCGGCTCCACCTCTGTTGCAGCACCTCAATAACATGATCCACCGTGACATCAAGGCCGAGAACGTGTTCTTCTCGCGGCCGGACGTCGTGAAGCTGGGCGACTTCGGCTTCAGCACGCTGGTGTGCGAGCCCGACCAGCATCTGACCACCTTCTGCGGCTCGCCGCCGTACGCGGCGCCCGAGCTCTTCCGCGACGACTACTACACGGGCGCTGCTGTCGACGCGTGGGCACTAGGCATCCTCATCTTCTTCATGGTGGCCGGCGCCATGCCGTTCCGCGCCGGCACGGTGACGGCGCTGAAGCGGCAGATCTTGTCGGGCGCGGTGACGATGCCGGACAGTGTCAGCGACGACTGTCAGCAGCTGCTGCGCGGTCTACTGCGGCAGAGTCCGGCCGACCGGCTCTCGCTGCAGGAGGTGGCCGGCTGCGGCTGGCTGGCCGGCCAGGCGCTGCCGCCGCCCGGCCAACCGTTCTCGCTGACGCGCTGGGGTGAGCACACGCCGCCCGGCGCCGACCACCTGGAGACGGCCACGCGCGCGCGCCTCCAGAAGCTCGGCCTCGAGTCGGAGGCGCTCGAGTCGCACTGGGAGCGCGGCGGCCGCAGCCCGATCACTGGCGTCTACCGCATCATGATGCACAGGCTGATGCGTGTGGAGGCCGGCGAGCTGGTCGAGTCGGGCTCGCCGCTGCGGCTGGAGTCGCGACCGACAAGCGCCGGCCCGGCCCCGGCCCCGACCACCGACGCCGCCGACAAACGTGCCAAATCGAAAACGTGCGCAATACTGTGATACGGTGCGGTTGGCGGACCGGCGGCCAGGGTCAGCCGCTGTGCCCGCTGTCGCCATGCAGCTAGAGACTATTTTTGAAATGTGGACTGTTAGACGTGGCGTATGCTGTCCAGTGGTCACACTGGGCTCAAGCGCGGTTGTGAGCCGAGCATTATATTTTTGTGATGTGATATGCCCTTGCCGAGCACACTCATCCGTGCGCGACGTACATATCCCGCGCGCGGTACGTTCAAAGCACGTGGTGGTCTGACCGTGCGGCACCGCCCTCGAGCTCCCTTCATTCCCGGTGGAGCCACTCCTTGCGGTACATGCCCGCGTGCGGACGAGGCGGGACCTGGCGCGTGCTCTGCCTCCGCATGCCGCCCCGAGGAGGCCAGTGTCGTCCGGTGGAGCGGGCGCGCTCGTCGGGCGAGTGCAATACACATACCTCTGGCGCGTGACCGGTCCGTTACGGCCAGCCCGGGAGCAGCTGTGGCGCCAGGTGTCGGCCGACGGGTCACGGCGGTGTGCGCGCAGAGCGCCCAGGGCCGGCCACAGCTGCTGCAGCACAGCCTCAGGCGACGGCACGGCTCAATGGGCCCGACACGTGCCAGGTCGGAGGCACGGAGCTCGATGACGTGTCACAGAGCTCTGGCAGGGCTCGGCGCCTCGGGGCTGAAATAGACTGGCGCAGCGCTCTGACAAGAAAGCCAGCCGCAGGCATCGCATGACGCTGCTGTTGCATTGATAACCACCATTTGCAGTCAACGGAAGGGCACCCGGATAATTAGTGCAGCAGCTAGTGATGGCAGCAACGACGAACTCACACATCCAGATAATTACACCAAGGTCACAAGCCAGTGGCGCAGACAGCTGTTAAATCGGGGAAGTCCTTAGCTTCTGGTAGGCGACAAGTGGACTTCCTCACAAGCGAGTGGGGCTTCCTCACAAGGTCGCTCCCGCAATACAAACGTCGGCTGACCTGCAGGCGGCAGTGTTTACAGTCGTCATCAGTTCTGACAGCTCACATCCCCACCCATCAGTTCACACCCTTATCGATCGCGACCGGAGCGACCTTAGCCTTGATTGGTCGGCATTTCATTGCGTGATAACGAGACAGTAATGTCGCACTTTCGCTGAAAAACACACACACAGGAGAGCGTGGAAGGAAACCTCACACCTTGATGGTTTCTGGCTTACTATAGGCATACAGGGGCACGCTTTTTACATTTCATTGCGAGTGCCCAGCAGGCAAATAGTGGCAATATGTGTCCGGGAAGCCAACAGCCGACACAGTGTGACACATTGACGTGCTGCAGAAAAAAGTGGTTCCCATGGAATTAATCCAGGCTTTTGCATAAAAGTGCTAGCTGCCGATTGTATCACCCATACCGTCAAACCGTCATAATCACGACTGGGGCAAACGTTTGGGCATCGCTGAATAGCCCTAAGCCAGTTTTATCATGCGTGCTTATGATACCACCCTCGGCGCTGCCCCATCATCAACATTCTTAAAACATTGTCGCAATTTGCTCCCCCGCTGTCCGCCACGTGAGTGCAGTGGCGGATCCAGAGGGAGCAGGGAAAGGGGCATGAGGCCATGACCATGGGGACAACGCGGCCAAAGAGGCACCAGAATACCATGGTGGAGGGGCACCAAAATCGTCATTGCGGATCCACGTTAACTTTATTTTAAAGGGGCACCGAATTCCGGGAGTACAACAAATAACACCAAATTCTTTAAAAAATCACAGCATTTTAGGGGCACCACGAGTGAATGCGCTCCCTACCCCTCCCTCCTGCTTCCTTAGGCCCGGGGGGTCCCGAGGGGCACAAAACACCGCTCGGAGTCGACGATCAAGGGTCCGATTAGAGGGTGAGGAAGGTAGGGTGGACTTAAGCCAAGTTAAGTAGATGTAAAAAGGCTCACGTCATGGCAGACTGCTTATTCTTAGGCAATTTAGGGACTTTTATGGTATTTTGTGATATCTTTGCACTATTCGAAAATTTTACCCGCTTCACCCCTAGTTCTGACCACGTTAACCTGCTCCTGCGCCGAAAGCAGCGCACTTTATGTTAAATGATGCTGAATTCTTCCTATTTCTGGTTTATTCCTTTGTGGTCTGGAGTGATCACGTAATTTGTGGAACATTTTTTAAGGAATCTGTGGAATTGTACCGTCTGCTAACTGGCAAAACTGGAGCGTAGCGCTCCGCGCCGAATGCGAGTTGTTGACATGACGGTTGCGGAGTATTGTATTCAGGGTGTTGACGGTGTTATCCATTATTGATCAACATTTTTCACTCAGTTGCATTAAAACTATGTGAGAGGAAGATAGCATTTAACTAGCTATTGAGGCGGCCACTGAAGTACTTCTAGTGTTGTGGGCGTATCGCAATCATCTATGAATGCTGCTCATCGTCGTCACCCACTGCGATCTGCGGATGGAGTGGGGATCCCACAGCTGCCTTATGGTGCCGGCAAAGAAAACTCACATTAAGTTAAGGGGATGTGAATGTCATCCTGTGCGTTCTTCCTTTACAGTCCATCGGCATAAATTGCATATCATGAGATGTGGTGCCAATCCATGACATCCTTGCACCTATGTATAGTGCTGTATTGTATTGTACGGTATTGTATTGAGTATTGTATTGACAGTATTGTATACTACTACACTATTTAGCTGTATACATGACTACAGTATTGAGCTGGGGTGCAATGTCCCAGAGATCACTAAATGAGAACGGTAAGATCACAACATTTGCCCTTTAGCTTAGCCATGGAGGCCCCGGTCAGTCAGGGTATTGACAGCGGTGATGACTCCCACAATGGCTTATGGCGTTCCCCGGCAACTGGACAGCAAACGACACCATTGATTCATGTGGTAAGAAAAAAAGCGAAATGAGGACCCCATAGTTAACAGAAAGAAACCCAAAGTACAGGGTGAGTGAAGCTACCTGAAAGTGAGGTGAAATGACAACAAATATTGGATACTTCAAAAGGAGGCAATTTTGTAACAGGTGTCCTCAGAAATAGCCAAGAGATGGATCATTACCATTCCCTTTTAGTTCCAGCTCGACTAAGAGATTGCTGTGCCATTGCATCGGAAATCTGTCAAAGACGCATGGCAGATCTCCCGTCCGATATCCCGGGAGTCCGGGAGTCATGGTGTTCCTTAACGACGCAGTCGTATCTTGAAAAAGACATCGTCAGAGTATCTGGAGGCGCTGGAGCAGGTGTTGCAGCGCTTGTCGGACGGCAGCCTGAGACTGCAAAGGAAGAAGCGTCGGTTTGGCGCGTCGTCGGTCGTCTACCTGGGTCACCGCGTCGAAGCCGACGGAGTGAAGCTAGCGGCGGATGGGACAGAGCCGCGCGAAACGCTCCAGCTGCTAAAGAACTAGCGGGAGCTGCACTGGTGGCTGAGTCTCGTTAATCCCTATTACAAATTTGCGGAGAATCTAGCCACGGTGTACAGCACCGTTGTACAAAGTGTTTAAAAAGGGTCAAGCCTGACAGCGGGATCTGAGCAGATGAAAGCTGTTCTGTGAAGTAATAGCTGGCGGTAAGCTGCGGTACGGCAGAGGGCGCGAGGCTCTGGTTGAAATGTTGTAGAGGCGCTGATGTCACGGTGTGGTCCTGTCCCGCAGCTCGCAGGTGATGCGCCGCAACATACAGCTGCCAATGTGAGTTACATTGATGTTATTTTGATTGATTTGATGATTATTTGAACTAAACACCGTCATAAATTTTGCGATAATTTTGTCGGTTCACATGCGGAATGTGTCGTTTCTTTTCTTCACTAAACTGGCTGAGTTGTCATGATCGCGGGCACGGCGTTGGTTGATTCCCCTCGTGATTGGCTGATCAGGCAACAATGATATTGACGGAAAGAAGTCTTTGGTCTCCCGAGCAAAAAAGTTTCAAGCGGGGAATGATCTACTCCAACCCCCTCAAGCACTAGCGCAACGTCCCAGGTCTGCGCAGGCCGTCCTGGATTGTGTTGCCAGTCCCTATGGCCTGGGTCGCTTTGTAGGCGTTGTGGCCAAACACCCCGGGTAGCGCCCGGTGGTCTGCTGTCCACGGCCACCAGAAAAAAGAGCGTTATTGATCACATAGCGACAGGTTGTACCGGCACTGTGCAAAACTTTCGCTTCTATCTGGCAGGCGGGAAGTCTTCTATCCGAACGGACCACGGGTCCCTATTGTGAATGACAGGGGGCGCAGGCCGCTCCTCATTCCTGGCGTTGTCGTAGGCTGCATGATGGATAATACTTTTGTTGGGGTGCAAGTGCAAACTAGAGTACGCTCCACGCTTAATACGCTTAAGTGTGGGGGGGGGGGGGGCAGTTTGAACACCGCTCCCCCTCTCCTGAGGGTTGTTCCAAAATGATTTCCGGACGACGCAGGGTAGCTGCGCCAAATTTTGGTTTGGCATCAAACATTTAGATGTGGTTTGTACGGTCGCTGACCTACAGAATATCAAAATTAGGCCATTGATTCAGCGAAGTCAATTTCTAGGGAATCATTCAATTTGATGCAACAACAGGGTGTCAGACATATATCTCTGAGATACTGTCTTAGGCAACACAGCATTTCATTGACCTAGGATCAGGTATTAAAGTCTGCTGGCTTGCTGGGCCTGCTGTGTGCGGCAGTTTCTGGTGCTCATTTTGAGTTTATTGATAACAGGAGTCGTATCATACATCTTCCATGAACTTCTTGAAGGTTTGGATAGGTCACTGACCTGAAATAACCTGTGTCAGCATTTTGTTTTTGGGAACATGCTGCCTGACGTAATTATTGTCGCTTATTGAAGCACAAAACTCAAAGCAGTCTTGTATGATCTTGGTCACCACGACCTTCGAAAGGTCAAACAAAGTCACTGACCTGATATGACAATGCGACTTTTTTACTTAGAACAGGTATCTAGGTTCTGGCGGCACTTTGGAGACCGAGCTGAATGTTTGGCCCATGAATGAATCCCAACCTTGTTTGACCTTATCTGACCCGAATGTCATGACCTTGGAGCCTCAGACTCCGACCCAAGTGACTTCACGTACAGACACGATTTGAGCAAAACCCGGAGCAAGCACGATTTGAGCAAAACCCGGAGCAAGCACATTTTGGGCAAAACCCGGAGCAAGCACATTTTGGGCAAAACCTGGAGTAAACACCTCACAAGATACGAAATCCCGAGCTTTGCTGGTCGAAGCATGTTCACTGAAGCTGCAAACCAGAATCATGTCAAGTGGAGGTAAAATGCTCATACAATAGCACACAAGCTGGTTCGACGTCATATGACATTCGTCCGCGGCCGCCTCGATTGTAAAATATGCCAACATTCATGAACAATTAGACAATGTCTAGCATTCAACATCGACTTATGACAGACTCCAACGGAAAAAAAACATTGCCCGTTTTCGAGATGCATATAATGATTTGGAAATAGGTAACTTTGGCTTGCTTAAAATGCTTTACCTAGGGAAAACGGTATTCTGCTATTCCCTGTTCCTTCACAAATAGCCCCCCCCCCCCCCATATTTCCGTTTTGGTTTCGAAAGAACAAACATTCCGGCCGAAATAGATCCAGTACATCTCCGAATTTGGGACAAAAAATCCTGAGAGCTTTTACTCACTAGCATTTCCGTGAGAGGCAACTGACTGCCGTCATGTCTGGAAATCGTGCTCACGAACACCAGATATGAACGACTCCACAATCATATCTGTATCGGCTTTGGTCGCCGCATGTCCAGTGGAATGGCACAATTTGAAAGAGCTGATATGGCCTCATGGATGCCTGGTGGACCTTGAAATAGTTTGCTTGGAAAGGTCTGCACATATTCGCAGGCATATAGATCAGAAACTACAAGGGTTTATGTCCTAAGAAAGACAGCGTTGTGAACGACAACGACTGATCTCCAAGGTGGCTGCTTCAGGTTATATCCCATACTGATGTGGAACATTCCCATTAAGCTAAAACTTCATGTCATCTCGAGACACAGTCACCAAGACAACACCTCTGCGACAATACCATCAGTGGAAGAATGACAGAATTCAGTTTAAGTTAAATTTTAGCACATCGGTGCATATCTGACACATTTCGAAGCTTACTCTAAAATCTTGGCCTGAACTTTGTCATGCCTGCTATATTCAACCTGCTGCTAACCATGCCATTGCTTGGACCGGATGCAATGGAAATGATTGAAGAATTTATGATAGGATCGATGAATGGAGGGTACTTTGATCAAATGACGTCACAAATCATTAAGCTTCAATGTCAAGGGTGTATCGGCCACGCCGGTCTTTTGATTGGGCATTATGCGCATGACAGGGATTGGGGATGATCTGGAAGGGAAATGAGCATTCTCTCGATGTTTCATGTGTCGGGGATACGCCGAAGAGACAATCTGAATGAATTAATAACGGCCTAGCGGGTGCGTAAGGCCAAAAATGACTAGGTGTGCGGGGCTTTCATGTTCATGATGTGTCATTGTCTGCCAACGCTGGCAGTATTACGGATATAGGAGACGGATATTAGATCATCAGAGCAGAAGTGAATCAATAGACGGGCTGATCCCGTTCAAGAGGGAGGTACCCAGCCAGAGGAGTTCTCATAGTGCGGGAACGGTGGCCACGAGACGTTGCGGAAGGTGCGACTGTGCGAAGCTGGAACATGATCTCGTAAAGACGCTTACGAAGGATGTTGTGCCAGGTGAACTCGGCAAAAGGACCTCGACCCTAAAATCCCCAAGTGCTTTGCATCGGGAAGGCAGGCTCTCCTTAGGGGCAAAGATGCTAACTGGGCGATACTAGGTATGAAAAGCAATTTTGGCCCACAGGGCAACAACGTACAAGCTGTGTGCCGTTGTCACACTCTGTGCTAGATTAAGCTGGCATAAACGGTCGGATTGGCCTTCTTAAAAGAGGAACGGTGTGCACAAGACGTTGTGGAAGACGCGACTCGGAGAAGTTGTCACAGGATCTCGCAAAAACGTTTGCGAAAGATGAACTCGTTAAAGACGGCACAACGATCCTAGTTATGAAGTCCCTGGACATTGGCATTGGAAAGGCAGGCCCTCCTTAGTGGCAAAAACGGTACCTGGGTGATTAATCAAGACGAGAGCCACCCTGCATTGAAGGCAAGGGCGTTTTCCCATACGCTACTGCCCGCACCCCGAATGACATCGGACGCCCGTTTGAAACGGCCTGGCGTGACGGTACAAGGAGGAATTGACGTTGCAAACATGGGCTTAATGTTTCTGATATACCCCAATTTGGCATTAACCTAGGCAATATTACTCAGCCCAGACCCTGTGTGTCATAGTAGGGGACTAGAGGGACCTCATTATGTTTATCTCAATCTCACATCTACTCCTGCCCAATGACGTTACCTTTGTGTATCACAGGATTCGGTCAGCGTCGCATGTGTACGGTTATGGAACGAGCACGGGATACAGCACATAACGGAGTGCAGTTTTCTTTGCAAGATGGCCAGGCTGCATGGGCAGATGTGGACACTGCGAACATTAAATAAAAAAGGGCATAAAGAAACAAAACAAAGGTCGACATCGACCTCGCAAGATTTCAAAAGCCCGAAAACCACCTCACAAAACTGCTGCGAAATATTGCAGAACGCTGTAACCACCGATAACGGCAGAACTAGCATCAAAGGCACCCACTTTGTTTGTCATTAGCGGCTTCCGGAAAGACGAAGATTTCAATGCTGAAATTTGGGAGATGCTGAAAATTTGCAGGATGCTGGGACACCATTTGGAGCGTTAAGGAAGCAAGGTAAAGCCATAAAGCGCCTCCACTGTTTGCACAAGGCACACGAGCTCCTAAAGGAAGATTCTGGTAATGTTGCAAAGAGCTGCAGAATGTTGCAGAAATGGTTTACAGCCAAAGGAGGCAAAGTGACATCCAAGGGCCACCTGCATTTTGCTATCAGAACAAAAAGCCCCTAAAAGGGATCTTGGAAAAATGGGAAAAGTTGCAAAAAGTTGCATGCCCAAATTGCTCAGCGCACCTCGTTGCAACGCTACACGCAAATAATTAATGTTGGAGAGGGCCGTAAAACGGTGTGTTGTTGATATCTTAATTCGTTTTTTAACCAATCTGATCCCTTTTTAAAACGGCTTTGCCATCTGAGTGGCGCTGCCAGCATTCCTGCAGTCTGCAGCCGATCTGCCCCGGGCCGTATCCGCCGGCAGACGCCACCCGCAGCCGGTCCTCCTCGGGAAGGGGGGGGGGGGGGGGGTGGCGTCTAGCAAACGTCGCTCGCAACCGGTCCCCCTCGGGGGCCGTGTCCGTCTGGCGGACGTCGCCAGCGTCCGCCGGGTCGTATCGGCCCGGGTTTCCGGGCAACGTACGTGGTGCGGTCGCGACGGCCGCGGAGATGCCAGAGACGTCGCGCCCAGCCGGCCACGCCAGTGTCGGGCGAGCTGCGCCGGAGGCGTTGCGCACAGCCGGCCACGCCAGTGTCGGGCAGGCTGCGCCGAAGACGTTGCGCACAGCCGGCCACGCCAGTGTCGGGCGGGCTGCGCTGAAGACGTCGCGTCCAGCCGGTCACGCCAGTGTCGGGCGAGCTGCGCCGGAGACGTCGCGCACAGCCGGCCACGCCAGTGTCGGGCGGGCTGCGCCGAAGACGTCGCGCACAGCCGGTCACGCCAGTGTCGGGCGAGCTGCGCCGGAGACGTCGCGCCCAGCCGGGCACGCCAGTGTCGGGCGAGGTGCGTGGCCGCTTCCGCCCAGAGAAGAGTGGACAAGCAGTGCTGCCGGACTGCTTGGAGCTTGCAATGGAAGGTACGAGTCCCGCCATGCTTACTCGCCGGACACTGAACGGAAGATGTCCAAACTGACTGTTGTAACAAGGGGCTTCATAAGTATTATGCCATGCCAGACATAATCATGCGTTACTTTGGAATGGGCTATTTAACGTGCTGAATGCAAGTCCTCATGTGGATTGAGGGAATAACGCATTGTTGTTAACCAGCAGCTGGTCGTGGTAACGGGTTGCTGAAGTTGCGAAGGTAACATTATTAAATCAATGCGGTTTACGTTTTGCCTTTTGACCTCAGGTGAATATTTCGAGAGACAAGTTAGCGCCACACAGCGGTCCTTTCAACAAATGATTACGCTGTGCAACTTCTCAAAACTTTATAACAGTTTTAGCATTTAGTTATCAATGGCATAGCTCTTATAAGCCACATGTAGCTGAAAATGTTTTGGAGATATTTTAAATTAAATGCCTGAAAAGGCGTATTTGCAAACAACTTACATTCACAGGTCATAAGCAAGCTAATGAGTGCGCGGGCAGGTGTGATACGAATTTGTTCCCTCCTGAAACCTTTCAAAACTTTTTCAAAAGATTCGGTGACATGTCTGACGTAGACGCGACAAACCAGACTCCTATATCCTGGCTGAAGTTCTGTTCATAGATTTAAAATACTCACAGAGCTTTGCTTTCCTACTTAAAAATGGTCCACAATGGTGCTCATGGCCCCCCAATCCTTGAATGAAATGATCCTCAGCGCCCACCTTGCTCGACATAACACCGCTGTGGACAAAAATGGTGCGGCTAGTATTCAGCACCCTCGCCCGATCCATGCCGGTCCCGCCCCGGCATTATCCTGGAATTTGGCTGAGCTAAGGTGTCGATTAAAGAAAAGGAATGTCTGAAAACAGTATCATGTTGCATGATAAGTTCATTGATTTCAATCAACGTTGTTTAGCTGTTGGATGCTACTGAAATGGCATGCAACCAGTCGTTTCCTTGCCAAAGTGTTGGGTCCATACAAAAGCTTTGTGAAAACCTCGAACAAATTTTGCATCGCATAACTCCTTCGTAAAAACGGCAATTACATAATTTCTGACATACCACACGGACATCCGCAGCTTAGACTTATCTAGTACTATACGACTAGCATAACTTGCCTTTAAGCCCGAATACGATATTTAGTGACCTTGAGTTCGACTACCGGCCGGTCTTAATTTTTGTCCATTCCGAGTTTGACCGTCGAAAAAACGCTCTCGCACTTTGCGCCTCAAAATTTAACTTTTAGTTTAGGATGTACCCCAAGACTGCAGTTTGACCCCTCAAATCCTGATTCCCCTCCCCCACCCCGTCCCCACCAGCCAATCTCGGAGGACCTAGTTACACTGATGATAACAACGATGCCAAACTCCTGCATCTCACCGCCGGAGACGTGTGTTGACGGCACGGCGCGGGCCTCAGGGCCATCAGCGTCGGAGGCGTGTGGGGTCGAGCGGAGACTGACCGGGCGCGCGGACCCTCGGCCGGTGACCAGCGACGCAGCGTCGCGGGTCTGCCTGCTGTACGGCCCCCAAGGTCAGCTGTGGGAGAGCCTGCTCAGAGACGAGCTGCAGAACGGTGCCGTCAGCCGGGTCGAGGTCACCAGCTACGGCATGGACCAGCTGCTGCCCCGGACCGACCCGGACGTCATCCAAGACATGGTCAGCTCACATCTGCAGGTACAGTCCCTCAGCTCTTGTTTGCCCATGGCCTCGCCGACGTAGCTCGCACCTGCTGATACTCGCATCTTGCTCTTCTACTTCACTCTCCACACTTGCAATGAGTGCCATAAGATCCTAGCTCTAACCTGCCGGTTCTTTCTCCCAGAACACATCTGCGCTTATGATCTTCCACCTTTTACCAGCTGGTATGTATCCTTTTCTAGGCACACAGCTATAGTCTTCCGCCCTTCTTCTCCAGATAATAACGCCAATAGCCAACCCGTTCGAGCACTCGTGTAGCTGACATTATTTGGCGAAATCTTCCGGAATACAACTCACTTGATGCACATGAAGTATCAAGTCACCATACTAATAGATGTGCTGTGTGTTGGGTGAGCGAAGTGATAACAGATGCGAGAGATATCGATCATCTTTATGTCGATAACATAAAAACCGAAGATAATGAAGCCGAGGACCTTTGGTCTCACCAACGCATCAGAATAGATTTGACGCGATAGGCCTGATCAATGAATTGAAACGTCTGGCTTTCTTTAAAATGCAATGAGTTAAGTTCTTGGTATACGCATCTATATATTCTATGAGCAACCTTCAACTGTACCTGGAATACAAATAAATCACTAGCAATCCTGGTCACTGGCACAAGGGTAGCGCGAGCTTCCACCTGAAACCACCTCATCGGCAAACCCAAGAACCTGCCGTGGACTGACCTCCCCACCAAGAGGAACGTCCCCGATATTCTCATCGACATCGACGAACATATGCTCAACGTCTTATATACGACTTACATTCGTCCTTTGTTTGATTATCGTAACGTAGTATATGACAGAGTCTTGACAACTAGCGACTCCCTTAGACTTGACAGATTACAGTACAGAGCAGCAAGACTAATCACCGATGCACTCTACAGAACGCACACTCGCGCACTGTTCGACGATTTGGGATGGAACACTCTGCAAGTCATGAAGAAACGTACACAAAATGACGCTGTTCCACACCGTTGTCTTCAACCAGCAGCCAACAACAGCCAACAAACGCCACTACACTTATACGTGATACACGAGCACTTGGAGCAGGACGCCTACACACAATACAATGACACCCACATTACCACCGAACAAAACCTCAACATACGAAAGCTCCTACATTCCATTGACTACGACAAGATGCTACCAACTCCCGCCTGTTTTGTTCGTAACAGAAGCACTCAGCTTGTTGCATAAGCCGTGCTGTTCCCGTGTGCAAAAGTGGCTGGTTTCAATGAACTGGTTCACAAATGGCAGGGTAGCTAACAATGCATGCATATTTAGTGGCTACCTGGAACTAATTACCGGGTAGCTTCCAGTGGCTACTGGAAGGCACCCGGTAATTATAATTGTATTTCTTTATAATATAAAGGAATACAATGTGTATAATAGTATACCTTTACATATTTGTGTATATATATATATATATATATATATATCTCCCTCATCTCTCTCTTCTCTCTCTCTCTATCTCTCTCTCTCTCTCTCTCTCTCTCTCTCTCTCTCTCTCTCTCTCTCTCTCTCTCTCTCTCTCGCTCTTCTCTTCTCTTCTTCTTTTCTCTCTCTCTCTCTCTCTCTCTCTCCTCTCTCTCTCTCTCTCTCTCCTCTCTCTCTCTCTCTATCTATCTATCTATCTATAAGGTAATTATATTCCAGTGCAACGACCGAAGTTACATTTGATTTCTACATCAGTATTCAGTCGGTTTTCTTAAATACCGATCTTTATTCTCAACTGCAATACTGCCGAACACCCGTGCCCACAGAAAACTGTTTGAAATATTGAATCAAAAAGGGATCAGCAATTCAACGACGAACGGAGCTTTGTTCACGTTCATGATGTCATGAGTGTTTCACTAGTGACTGACATTGACATCGGCATGAGTCAAGAATAAGATCAACAGTCCGTAAGCTACGCTGCTTTTGTTAAGATTCATTGGCTGTAGATAATCGTTAAGAGTTGAGGATGATGACAGGTCAGCTTAGCAAAGTGGCCATCGAAGAAGTTATCCCTTTCCATAATGCTACTTTGGCTTAGTTTTCTAAGATGACGGATTATTGTAGATCAGCAGTTTGCAGGTTGCAGGTTGTACCCATCCAATCCATTGGCGTGACACAATCATACACACATGTGTCATGCGTTGAAACATTGACGTAGAGCACCTAAATTTCGGGAGTCAGGTAGCGATTCTCTCATCTCCGAGAAAAAATCCAGCAGAAACAGCCAGAAAACCAATCTAGACAACAAGCGTCACGAACGATGGTCACCAACAACAACAACATGGTCACCATCATGACCACCTTCTAGTGGTCATGATTTTGAAAGGAACTTGCAGTACACATAACTATCGGGGCTCTATCGCGTGCTCGGTCGTTTCGCAGAGAGGTACATGAATCACATGTTCGCCCAGCACAGCAAGACGACTTTTCCTATCCACAAACATCGAACTCCTGACGTGCGGCGGCCGTTTGTGAGAGCACGAATTACCAAGCAAACTGCGGTATGCTTTGAGTTAGAACGGGTTGACTCCGAGGACCAGGGATGGTAAAAGTGTACCCTTCGCCGCCGACCAAATTTTTGGAGGAGAAATTGTTGTCAGTAGCGTATTGCAATGCCATATGAAAAAGGTTATTAAAACCATGCCCAGTAGCGTCATCAAAAATCAGCCTATCACCGAAAGGCTCCTCCATCATTGCAATTTTCAATTTCATGCACATAACCGAAACGTTCAGTCATACACTGCTCTTGAACAATGTCAGGATAAGTGCTGGTGCTAGGAAAGCGTGCGCACCTGCCCTAGACTGATGATATAGCCCAATCACGACGGGAGTTTTCTTCCACACTCGGAATTTTATGGCGCCTCACGTTTTAACTCGATCTACGGCTGAATTTACTTTCCTCAACCGCAAAAAAACAACAAAGGACCACGATAGCCAGGGCAGCAGAATGCGTGGCAGATTCCGAACTAGTAGCAAACAGGACTGGAAATGACGTCAAATGCCATGCCCCGTTATGAAAATCACACTTGCGCTTCGACTCCCATTACAGTCCTCATCAAACTATCTACCATACCTTAGGCACGCTCCAAGCCTGGTGCGACATTTTTTTGAATGGTGGGCGCCTCTTGCCAGGCCCCAACAAAACATTGTATCGAAATTTGTCGATTACTTCACATCAGGCGAACAGTTCATTCTGAACCAGCTACTCGCCCGGACAAAAGGGGGTGGGGGCAATGCGACGCCCCCCGCCCATACGGCTTTATGAAGATATCAATGCGGCATATTGTACAGTCTTGCTCAAATCTTTGGTAGCCTCTGGGGCATCCATTGTACGCGTGTTGACACCAAACAAGTGTCCCTAGGTATTCTGGTTTCAGAGAAGCGATGTTTTTTACAACCAGTGCAAGACGATTCAAGGCCGGCGAGTGCGGCGGGAGGGGGGGGGGGGGGGCAAGCCACGATTCTGCGGACCGCGCGCGGAGGGCTGGCACTATTACATGAACGAATCCCTACATTATAATAGAGGCTCCAAACAGACAAGACTACATGCCATTGTACTCATAATTAAAGGAGGGACACGCCTCTTTATGTTCCATGTCACTACATTGCATGGTTTCGTATATATGAACATGCAAAGCTGATGAATAGTTTTCACGAAAATTTGACCTTCGACTTGGTCTCGTGGGGTCAGTTCACAACAGTAGACTTCTTGCCAATCGCGAGATCTTGTTAAAGACAGTTCACTGTTTGCTTTTTGCGAGGCCTTACCTTTCTTAGTTTGCAAACGTCGAAGGATAACCCCCGTCCCCCCCCCCCCCCCCCGCCACCAACCCGCGTTTCAAAAGCCCGTGAATCAAGGTAAAGGCTCAAATTATCGGCTACCAGCCTTTTTATGTATTTTATATATGCCGGTGTAAAAATATGCATTTAAAGATAGGTTAGGGAGTAGTGAAAAATTATGCAATGCAACCCCAAAATATGGATGTCTTCCAGATTAGCACACTTATTCACAAACTTAGGGGAATGGTTAGAGCCCTGAATTGAATAAGAAGTAGGAATACCCCTGATTTGAAGATCTATATGACTGATAACCATTCTCACTCAGGACAAGCACAAAAATGGCATAAATCTGTAGTCTAGAACCATTATCACGTCCTGTTATTCTCCTTCATTAGAAGTGCCTTCATGTGAAGGGAAAGAGGCTTCAACATAAAATCTACGGTTGTTCGAAAGGGGAAAATACTGGCAGGTTGTGACTGCTTCGGTGAGTTAACAGCTTTTGGGGGTGTCATGAAAGGTGGTTTGGATAATTACAGGTCAATTTCTACCTTGATCGGATCCCAACGCCGACATACTGTCAATACCTCTCGTCGCTGAGGGCAGTATGCTGGATCACGGCACAGTCAACGAAGTAAACAACGCCAGAATTTAAACCCTCGGCAGGTATTTATGATGCTGCAATGCGAATGCCACTTGCAAAGTTGCAGCACACTGAAAGTCACCGCCCAACTCATATCAGTCGCATGGCAACAGTTGAAACACGTCTTTGCGGCCAGATGAATCCCCATATCTAGATCTTTTTTCAGTTCTTTATACCGTCTAGTTTGGGATACTGAGAGTCGGCTGTTTAAAACAGCAAATCGGCCGGCCGCCCGGGCAATTGGAAATAAATAAAAATGGTCTGTCACCGACCTGTCAGCGAGTCGGCCGACCAACTAAAAATCATAGGATACTTTTGTCGCCGGGTTAGAATGAAGCCTAGGAACGATACCAGGTTGCCGTAGAGTAGGGTAAAGAGTCTTTACAGAAACGTTTGCTAGTGTTGTGCGACAAAATGTATTAGCATGGAGGCATAATATCTATATATGGAGACCTCATGTAATGTTTTGCATAGTGCGCTGCATTTTTCCGTCTTGGCCGTCACCAAAATGTATTGTCCAAATGCATGTTTGGCACCAATCTTCACGTGAGGTGATGCATTTTTGTCCCCGACCTTATCTATCGAATCGACAGGTTTTGCCACCCCTGACGACGATATACGAAAAGCGACATGGAGACGGCAGAAGGTGATTTGACTTTGCCTTGCCCAACGTGCCATGTCGACCATACCAGGGAGGGTAAAAACTCCGCGGGAAGTTGCAGATTCCGTATGTAACTGCTGTCCCATCTTTATAATAAATTGCTTTATGTAGCGCACCGTGCGTGGAATTAGCCATGGCAGACAAACCACCCGTCGTGCATGGAATCAGCCATGGCAGACAAACCACCCGTCGCACATCGCGAAAGGCGGGGGGAAAATGGCAAAGGTGAATACCTAACCCTTATCCGGTGCGGCCGATTGGAGGACGCCGATAATTCCCTGATTGCGACGCCCCATTGTGGCACTGTCCTTTCGAATCAATGTTGCATTTTCAGCATAAGTGAGAATGCTCACTGCAGGGGCGGGGGCAAAAATGAAGTGCAAAGCTATGGAAGAACAATCGCCAAAGTGTCATAGCCAATCATAAATTTCGTTTCCAAGATGACTTGAGTGAGAAACGTACGTAGTACATTATTGTCGTAAGAATATGTGCCGTATAATTTATAGCATGCCATGATAGCTAAGAATTTTTATCTTCAAATTATTGTAAACTAGAGCAGAGTATTGCGAAAAAGGCTCCAGTGGTGCTTTTCTTCTCTAGGTGGTCATAATGACACCGGATCTCTTGCACATGATCGAGGCAGAACCTCAAATGGGTCGCCTGTTCCTCCGAGACCGCACGATGTGCCTCCTTGTGGGCGTCACCGAGGACCAGATTTACGACAGGAACGTGGAAGGTAACCGCACGCCAGTATTCTAGACAATGCATGATGTTCGATCAAACAATTTAGTATGCTGTGGACCACATTACATAATCCCCGCAATTGCTGCAGCTGTGTGTTTCTGCCATCACTGAAATGAATACTATCCTATAACAGCTCTCCCATACGCATGGAACACTCCTTTTTCGCTGAAAACATCGCACAGTGCACCGTGTTTGAATGGGCGTGAAATGAGGGTTTTCAGTAAGGCCCGAAGTTTTTCTTCTATGGCTGTTGATTATTTGCATTAATTGTGTCAATCCTTCGCTATTAGGTAAATTCCTGATGCTACTGATGCTTCTGATGCTAGCTACTAATTGAAGCGGTGTATCTCAGGTCTGCAGTCGTTTCCAGCGTGGACAAAGCACACGGCAAGAAATGAAGATTGGGACTGTTTTTCACGCTTCATCTCCACTGCATATGCAAGTCTGAACGACAATCCAGCAACATACAGAACAATGCATGAAGCAAAGGTTTTCGGTCGCCACAGGAAGAGACGATGAAGTGAGTACAATACAAATATCTAACAGCATGACCACTCGGCGCTCTCGGCTAGCTCAGCCGCTCGCAACTAACCCAGCTGCTCGATAACATATGAAATGTGAATGAAGCGGCTGCGACCACTCACGACTGGCGCACAATAGTTGACGATATTCTGCACGCGGGCGATCAGTGTCACATCACACGGTACGTACAGGCTCTTTAAGGTAAAGGCTATGGTGTAGCTTCCCATTCAGTTGGAGTTCTAGTCCCCCACTCCCAATCCAACTTTTAGAAAAGTGGGGCAAATTTGCGGAGAAACTCATTTTGGAGTATTTCGAGGCGAGATGTTACGCTAGATGTTAGATATTAGGTTCCACGCTTACTTCCGTTTCACTTTTCCATTTTCCGTGCGTTCCGTTGTATCCGTTTAAATATTCGCGTGGTTCGCAGACAATCTATTCATTAGCGCTTCCATTTGTGTGTAGTTGTGCCGGTGTGCGCGGCGATAGCCTGCTGTCCATGTCCTGTACGGGCAGGCGTTTTGTCTGAGATAAATGCATCTGGACAGCTGGGTTGTCTCTTCCGCTGGCATCATGTGTCGTGTCGATAGGCGGCCTTTCACTACCGGCTTTGGTTTGGTCAGCAGACGCCGGTATTCACGTTTGGTCCTCCGCGTGGGCCAGGTTTGACTGACACTGTTGTGCAGTTATGGCCAGGCTTCAGCGCGATCAGCGCTGTCCTCTGTTGTGTGCTGCCGTCCGGGCGGCGTGGTGGTCTACATTCTGTGAGTGAGCAGCTGCACGGCACGGACCGAGGAGCCTGACGGCCTGTCTGCACGGCGATCCCGCCCGCCTGCCCGTTACCCGGCTCAACACGGCCAGAATGAAGAACCCCTACACCCGCTCACTTTGCTCTGACAGGTGATTCACTTCGGGCGGGATGATGGGCATGTTCTCCCCCCCCCCCCCCTCCCCCACAGCCACCCGTCATTTGACGAGGCGCGTGCCTTCTGAGGCGTGCGTCGCTCGGAAATGCATAACAATTTATCGCTTAACGCCGAAAGCTGCGCTCCATGGAGAGAGCAGTAGTCCAGATCTTTCACTAGGTGTGTATGCTTATTTCTGATTCCCTGCTGCTTTATCAATCTGCACAAATCCTTCCAAAATTGTCCCTGTCTCCACCGGTTATCGATAATCATCATTAGTGCACCTTACCAGTCTAATGAGCCCGTGGGCAGGTAGACCAGCCCTTCTGGCCCCGATTTGAACGCCCTTTTTGAAAAGTAATCAAGAGCTGAAAACCCGCTACCATGGTAACGGAGTTACAAAGGGCCGCCCATATATAGCCTTACGCAAAACCAAACACCCTCTGTAGATGTTGACTGTCGAGGATAAGGAAACACGAAGTCTAGCGAATGTGCAGGAGAGTGGCCTCACAAAGACCAAACAGCCATGGTCCCATGCCATCCACCTTCTTCTTTCCCCACCCTCTTTTCTTTATTGAATGAACCTACAGCACACCATCTCACCGCAAGCGTGCCGCAGCAGCGGAGACGTGGCCAAGGGCGGGGTGTAGGGGAAGGGTATGTGAGGATGGCGGGGGGAGGAGGAATGCGCGCTAAGCCAAGATATTTATTTTACAGGAATTCGGTGAAAATTTGCAGTGCGGAGAAACTTTGAAGTTGACCCCAGTCGCTCAATCGACCATTGGCTGCCCCGATGATATTGCATTACAGTTGTGTCCACCCCGTAGCTGGATCGGTAAGAGTTCGTGACTCCCATCCCAACCACGCAGTGGCAGGGTAGCTGGGCTTGTGCCGCTTTGTCGTTTGCTATATGTCCTTGGCTGTGACGGCCTGTGGCTGGTGTGTAAAGTGACGAGGGGAAACCAGAACTTTACATAGTTTTAAGTTGTTTAAATACACACATAGACCATTTTTAAGCTGACTGGGTTTTACATTGGGACGGTTTTAAAAATGACATCTTAATTCTGTCATACGGCTGAGAATGACACGTTTCCGTCTAAACTTTGCTGTACTTAAGTGGGGCTTTCGAGGCCTCTTCATTGGTTCATCGTCAGTTACGATAGTTCATTGGATGAATTCAGCGTTATGGGTAAAATAGATGTTTGAAGGCGAACAGGCCATTTAGCTGAATCTGGAAATTGTGATGAAATCTGACGAAACATGTCGCAAAATTATGCACGTGGAAGATAGATACCAGCAGTGCCCCAAATACACCCTCGTGTATCTATGAGGACGAATGGAATGCCTATGTGATTTAAACTTGACCAGTGTAGGTGATGCTGAAATGTCAGTTGGCTACGCGTCAAATGCGCGCAAAAGCTGTTATACTACAGATTAACGGGAATGCTTCACAGTTGAAGTTATTAAAGCAGGCACCAGATATGACGAAACAAGCTCATTTATCACTGTTTGCATACTTTTGAAGTGGAAAAACTGCCTCTAGATCTAGAATTGTGTTGTCCTCTGACAGTGCAATTCTCTGCCTGGTAATTATGCTCCTCAATGCGCGACGTTATCATGGCGCCAATACGCCATGATTACGCCGTCGTAACTTGAACAACATTGATTGAGAGCGAATGGACGGCCGCTATATCCGGAAATCATGATAACAAACGCCAAATATAAACGCCCCGGTAAGTATGTTTTATTGGCCCTGACCACCGCGTGGCTTACTGAATGGCAGGATTTGGAACGACGATCCATGACGTCACGAATGCCAAGTTGACCTTGAAATACTCTCCTCGGAAGGCTCTCGCCATTTTCGCTGGCACGTAGCTCAGAAACTAGAAGGTCTTAGGTCTTAAGAAGGGCGGGGTTGTAAACAGCGCCGAAAGGTCTCCAAGATGGCTGTTTCAGTTCAAAACCGCATATAAATGTAGGACACTCTTAAGTGTAAGCCGGGGAAGTTAAGAGAGTGCACAAATATGGAAAGCCCTCCGGTGGGCTCTCATTATACCCTACCTCCCTAAAAACGTTGTCTTTGTAAATTCGTCTAACAGGCTCATCTTGAACTATGCTGTTTTCACATTTCAATGCCCTTTTCGACCAGTCTGATTAGAAACTCTCTGATGATGAAAAGCTGAGCACAACTGCAGAGCGTCTTTTAAACTTGGAACAATACAAACATGACAACGTGCAGTATGAAAGGCGAAAAAGCATTTACAAAAAAAAACTGTTATATCATATCAGGACATGGCATGACAAAGAAAGATGGGCTTTTCACTCTGCCATTGTTAGACAGGGGCATAATTTAGTCCTGATTTCAAATGCACGAAAACTGGAATAAATGGAAACGAATTCAATCGTTTTTTCAGGGCTTTCAAATTAGCTCATAAATGTTACCCCTGAAGTGATGCAAAAGTTGCAGTTCATGTTTCCCAAATGCCCCCATTGCAGCGCTGCGTTACTGAATATTAATCCACAAACGGTCAGTGGGCCGGAGCAGGTCATGTGCCACCCTTCACCCGGCCGGGGTGTCCCTGGAGTGCCAGTGTTTGACAACTAGGCGCCAGTGAAGTCGTGCGGCGCCGGTCTGGAGCAGTCCTTGTGGTGTCGGGACGTCTGGCTGAGCGCCAGTGTTTTGCAACGACGGAAAGAAGTGAAGCAACGGCCGGCGTGAGTGTGCGCCTCATGATGTATGCAGTGCTTTATGCCCTTTTATTTCAATTTCGAAAGAGTCCGCTTAGCTTCTGTTCGTTTTTTGGAGCATACTGTGGGCAACTTATTTGTCGACGCGGAAAATTCCGGTTAGATATGCCTGTGGTAAGCTATGATTATATGTAGATGTCAGAGAGCCAGACACTTATCGAGCCTGAGATTGGACATCAATTAACTACAAAATGACATTTGCTCCAACCCCTTTAATCTGTCGGCAAAACGGCCGCTGTCCGGGACTGCAGCGAACAAGATCGGTTTAATCCATGGCCAGTACTGTGGCAAGCCGGACTTTACGGACATGGAGACGAGGCTTGGCTTGTTTTTAGGGCGAAAGAGATCAAGCTGAAAGATTCTAAAAGCGACAGGTCCTGCAAAAACCGTGCTCGCCGCTAAAAGCGTTTTCACTTTGTAGTGTCATACTTTACCATTAATGTCGTGTAATTAGTTTCACGAGTAAGCTTGTCTTTATAATGCAGTAATTCAGCAAAGTTTTGGTGTAAGCAATGGCCCAACAGTGAATACCATATGACAGCGATTTCATTGCGGTAGTGCTTTTTGCTCATGGTAGCCGTCTCGACCAATAATGCCAGCCGTTTTGATGCTGGTATTATTGGTCGGGACCGAAAACCATGAAATGCTGTAAGATCTATCAAAATCGATAAACGGAAGCAACCTCGCTCAGTCGCCGTGTACTTATTCGTCGTTCACCTCTCCGTGCTCTGTGACTTCGTCCCATTGGACCAGCTTTGCAAACGTAAAATGGCGAGCAGATACATAATAACCAAACACTACTTGCTTTCGAAAAGAGATTCATTCGCTACGTCGATAGACCTGGCAACAAACAATGCTTTCGTTTACTCTAGTTTCCGTGCATTCCAAAATTGGTACCAATTAAGCCCCGGCCTAATAATGCTAGCGTGAAGAGCGCCGCAGGATGCCATGTGGTACGCAATGAGCGTGATACTGGATGATGTGATCAGGTACCTGTACTAACAGTTCAGGGATATTTGTTATTGCTTCCCCGGACCAATGGTTCTTTATTTTGTACTTATGCACTGGAGGAAGGGAGGATGGGGGTGGGGTGGGGCTGAGAAGAAGATTGGCATGTGAGTACGAATCGGAAAACGTACATAAAGTGACGCCTCTTGCCTCCATCCTGCTTATAGGTTTAAACAACGTCCTTTCGTTACCGGCAATGTCCTTATTAAACCAATATTTTTACCGCATAGTGTGTTTAGCTGAACCGTAAATATATTGCAATTATCGATATCTAGTAACGAAGGTATCCAGTAATTAGCGACATGTGTTTATCAGAATCTCCGAACGCGCGGAATGCGTTTATTTGTCAGTACATTGTGCTGATTTACTTTCAGCATAAACATTAAAGGCGATCGACATACGCTGCTGCACTTTTTGTGGTCATGTGAATGGTGACTGCACTCCTCACAGCATGCAGTCGTGGTGTGTTTCAGATGAAGAGTTCCGGGGGCTATCAGGTGTTGAAATTATGCACAAGGGGCAATCGTGGGGGATGCAGCCCGTCCATCGTCCGAGCGAACTGGAGGCGGACGCCAGCTTTTTGGACACTCTCACCTCACCGATAGAGTTCCTCTGTCAGGTATGTCATGCACAAATATTCCGCAGCGGGTGGACGGTAGCTGCTGCTGCCACTCAGCAAATTCTGCAGTAGGCTACAATTTCAGAAGCTAGGAATGTGCGGTGGATTTTCGAGCCCTCAGCCGCTCCATGCATAGTTGATTGTGGCTTGAAACTGTTTTTGTGAGGTGTCAATTTTGTGTCAATCATTCTTCTGTTTCCTCGTTGTGTCAATCATTTATAAAACCGTTATTCACCTATTTTCCAGCATTCGTTTTGTCCGTTCAAAGCAATAATCTGCTTCTACCAATTTATGCGCCAATGTATAGTTCATTCACTTGTATCGGCTCAGTTTGTATTGACCTTGCTGTAACAGATACTATTTTTCGCAAAAGGGCATAAAACAAACCCAAAACGAAGTACGAGGAAAGGAATGCATCATGTCCGGGGCGAATCTAGCCTTTTCGTTTGACGGAGGGGGGGGGAGGGGGCAAACAGAAGCTGAAACGAGCGGCTCTCAACCACCCTGGGAAAATTCTAAAGAACTTTACTGGGAGGCAAATCCAGCATGCGACTATGCGGAGATGGTTGTAATATTTTGCTAGACCCGTTGAGAGCCTGCTCTTCATGCGTGGAGTCTTTCGGAGAAAAGCAAATGTCCAGCTGCCGCTTTATGCTATATTCCCTCCAGCTGCATACTTTTGTCTTTGTGCTTTCGACCCATCCACACCACTCAGATAACAGACAATACACCTTCCTAACGTTATTTGCGCGACTTAGCATCGCTTGCATCGGAAATATGAAATTACATGAACGGTAAGGTATATTTGGCAACTAGGAGGTATTTGCACTCCCCCCACTCATACGTTCAAATATTGCTTGCAAACATTGACGCCTCTGTGACTGAAGACAGCCCCCTGCAATACGCCAGAACAGTATCGCGGAAAACTGCAACAAACTTCAAATGGTGCGGAAATGCATTGCTCAGATCAAAAGTGAACGAAATCAGACTAGTGTTTCGGAAGAATTCGGACGGGATGTCAGTTTCACGGAAAAAATAATTGCCCGGTATATCGTCCTTAGGAGAGAGATCGAGTTGTGATGTGTACACGGCTGAAAGCCAAACATTGTCCATCCGTTCTCAGGACTCACCAACACCTGACGAAAGCCGGCGACTCAACAAACCGGCCGTTTTGTACGAACCCATACGTCAGACGTGGACGATAGTTCGAACAATTATGGCATCCGAAACCAAGAATGCTAGTTGCAGACACTATTTTCATCATTGTGCATCACCCATCCAAAAGTGTGCAAAATCGGCCAGTGCTAAGCGAAATTAATTTTCCGGTTTGCAAACATGCTGATAAAAAGTACAAAATGCGCTTTTTCCAACCTTGATATGGTTGTTTCTGCTCAGTTTTGGGAGGGGAAAAACATAAAAACATAGTTATGCCCGCATCGTTTTTTTCAGGCAAGAGGTCAACGGTTTTTGCTCATTTTGCCCGTTCCCTGTAACTGCTCATGTTGGTCTATGTCCCCGACACCGTTCTCACTCCTCGCACACCAGCGAAGGACGCAACATCACCGTGGCTGGTGAGGGCAAAGTCTTACAAAAATTGTGATCGAAGTTGTGTATTTCTATTGCTAAAAGCGGTGCGCTATGTAGTTCTGTCGGCGAGCAGAACGCTGCAACTGGCAACTGACAGCCCTATGCCAATTTTTCAGCTGACGGTTACGCCGACAGGAAGCACCATTCTTCGGAAGCTGCGACTCACAATTCTTGCACGCTTTCAAACAGCTCTCAACACGCGCTCGGTGGTGGTAGCTGAGGGTATTTTTACCCCGTAAGATTTTCTAGAATGCCTTCCCAACAGGTTCGGCGCGGCGGCGACAAGCCTCGTGAGCGTATAAAAAGTTAAATAGTCGATCAGTTGGTGTAACAATGCATGTGAATATAAACAGGCCACATATCTGCAAAAGATCAAAGTTAGGCCATGAATGCCAGCAAAGGAAGTTCGTAGGGACTTTTTAAAGCTAATGTGACAGCAGAGTGTTAGACAAAGTAATGCATCTCTGGGCTGTTTTTAGGCAGCTAAGAAATTTACTTTAAAATCGGAACTTGTTTCACTGACCTTGTTGTGACCAGATCACGTGCAGATCGAGACAGGACAACTCTTTCACCTGCAAACTTGCCTTCTTGGATAATTCTACCTCAGTTCTAAATATTTGATTAAAAAGGCGTCAGCATATTTCGTATTTTGAATCCATGCAGAGAAGGGAGGTCGTAGACATAAAACGACCCGGTCAACCCGGCCTAGGGTAGTTGTTAACGCCAATTTCACATTCGAATGTCAAAATGACAGGAAGGTTTTTGATTATTTTGATTTTATGAAGGTCAGGTAGGGATATTGACATATCATCCGAACGCTATTTTTTTTTTAAAAGCAAGTATCTCAAGGTTAAGGCCGGGTTCGTGAGGAGGTCTGAGGGCACTTTGACACTCATCTCGAGTTCGACGTTGTTTCATTTTATTCGACACGTAGCCCGAAGGTAAGGGCCTAGAGATCCTTAAATGTGGCACAAATGAGGTCGCACAGAGTCTTACCTACCCGGCTAATTTGGCACCTAGTCTTACGTTTTTATATCCCGGTGGGAGGGCGGGGGGGGGGCAAATGGACTCCTCCAAATATGAGCGCGTCGTATTCGACCGACCACCCAGGCGCGTGTTAAACAGGGCGAAGTTATTGAACGTCTTGGAGTGTTTTATTTAGCCCGTCCGATAAACCCGTTAAGCAGCCAATTTTCATAATGCAAAAATTAGCTGGAGTGCTGCTCGAAGCCTGGTCAAGATCAGAACAACGTGCGGTTCGGTCGCAGCCACACGGCGCAATCACTATTTTCGTGATAGCAATTTATTTCTGACGCAAGCGCCCGCAAACTCTCGCCAACGGATAAAGCGGAAACTGACTGCCAAGGCTATGCGAAGGTGGCATCCAGAAACCACACTAAAGCTGCTCGAGCTCGGAGTTCTTCGATCAATACGGACGCCAGATGTTTGAAAACAGCTCATGGCCTCTTTTACACACCTATCTCGATATCCTACAGGCCCTTGGCATCGAACCAGGCGCAAAAGATGAGCTTGACTGCATTTTAGAAGACACATTCAGAAAGAACTGTCCACCGGGGATCGAGCACCTATGCTTCACTACCAACTTAGCCAGTATTGAGCAGGGTACGTATTCTTTCTGCTTTAGAGGCTCATCTCACCGAAAGTGCACGAGCACTTCCCATGACATCGACTCATTTAGCCACTCAGCTTAGCAACGGAAGACGCATCAAAATGAAACTTCTTCCGCTTGAATATGCACTGCTTCCAAACAGGGCTCCTTCCGCTTGAACGCGCAATGCCTTAGATAGATACAATGCCCTCGTAGATTAGAGAACGCAAGAGGCCTGGTCTAATATGTCGGCAGGTGATCACATGATGATGTGCGGGCTCGTGTGCCTGCGCGCGTGCACGCGCGCGTCATGAGGGTTACTATTTTTGACTTCGATGCGGACGCAGCGTGTGCTGGAGTGACGTCGGTGGGGCGCGCGGTCATGCTGCAGCGGACGCTGTGTGTCCGACGCTGCTGCACCTGGCCGCGGCGCACGGGCTGGGGCAGCTCTGCAGCCGGCTGGTGGACGCTCCCGGCGGCGAGAACGCGCTGGCGCTGCCCAACAGGGACGACCAGCGGCCGGCCGACCTGGCCGCTGCCGCCGGACACCAGCTGCTGGCCGACCAGCTGCGTCGCGCCATGGTGAGATGAAGGCATACAGCCGACACGCAGCACCTGAAGAGGCGTGACGTCACATGGAGAACAGCAGGACATGACGAGATGACGTCACCGTAGATGATGGGCATAGTTAGGCGGCGTCAAGGTGGGCATAGCGGGATATGGCAAGATGACGCCACATTGGGCAAGGCGGGGCATAGGACGGTGACGTAACATTGGTTATGGTGGAACATGGTGCGCTGAGATCACAGCAAATATGACGGACACTGGTAAGATGGCGTCAAACTGGCTGTGACGATTGGCGGGCATAAAACTGTGACGTCACAATGAGTTTGATGAAATACGCGACGTGACTCCAGGCTGGTGGCAGGCACGGCAAGATGCAGTCACAATGGGTGTGCTGTGACTGCGTTACACGTGCTGGTGCGGGGTCATGGCAATGCGCTAAGTATTGCACAACTGAGCATGGTGGGGGAATTGTTTGGGGTACAAAAGGCAGCGCCGTGCAGCTACACTAGGACAGTGATGTCAACGAGTGTGTCCGACAGGGGTAGTGCTTACATATGACAAAATGACACACCTTTCTTGATGTGGTATCGCAGAGCTAAAGCGAAGCATTCAATATGAATGTGTGAAGCCATCTATCTGTAATTGTATGAGCTTGAAAGAATAACCAAATGCCCCGCTTTGTCATTTCATCTTATGAACACGTTTTTTCGATCCGTCAGCATTTGACGAAAGAGAATAATGACTGAGCTTCCTTGTTAAGGTGATCACATTGTCATAAATGCTTCACGTAGACTGGAGTGTGGTACAGTCAGTTAAAATGTGCCCAAATGTTCCAGGAGTTGTCCAACCTCTCCAGCATCATCCCAAAAGTCGAGGAGTGGTCACAGATGACCGAGGAAGACTTGCACAACAGCTTGACTGGTACTTATATATGCCGTGCGGGGCGATGGCGCGCCGGAAGAATGCGATAAATTGTGGCTAGTATCGAACATAACATTTATGCAGCAGGTTTGACATTTGATGGTCATTATTGATGACAACACTGCCCATTCGCGCCTAAAAGAAAAAACAGAAGGGAATTTTCGAACCAAAGGCTTGGGAACGATATAGCGGCCGTGCGTGCTCGCATCTTACGTAAGCGTAACCCTGTCTGTGCCTGCCTAAGGGAGGGTTTTGAACTGCTGCGAGACATGGAAGACTGCTATTCGGCTACCTCTGTGTGGGACAACCATGTGATGCCTAAGACGTGGCTGTTTGCACACCTCCATGTGAAGCCAACATGTGGGACGTGAGAGATGGCTGTTTGCACACCTATTTGTGGAACAAGCATGCGAGACTTGAAAGTGGTTGTTCGCACACCTCTGTGTGGAACAAGCATGTGGGACATGAGAGATAGCTGTGCGCACATATTGATGCTCAGTAAAATTCGCAAAGCTTCAGAGCCAAGCTCCAAAGCCCAAGGTTTGCCATGTATTATAAGAAGCACGGTGTGGGCAACATATGTCCTTCACAAAATAGGTGTCAGCAATGTGCACTTCACTCCCGCAGCTCACGACTGATAGTGAACGCCCCATTCCAGAATACCTGAAACCTGACAGCCCGGGTCTCGAAGGCCAGGCACGAGAGGCCCCGGACTCGCCCCAGTACGACATAGCTGTCGACGACAGGAGGGCGGCGTGGGATTTCTCCGGTGCAGTATTGATCCCTATGTCTAGAATGTGGCTGTTTCCTTCTGCCTCTCGACCCTGGCCCTGCCGTCTCTTTTGCTGTCTTGATGTCTGGCTCGCTGCAACACTTTTGCCATCCGATATATCATAACTGAGTCAGTCTTGAAATTGCGAAAATTTGAACGTAAATCTGGCCAGAAGCTGTCAAGCTTGACAACTTCCCACATTCCTCCTTGCAGACGACACAGCTCTCGAATTGGTTTGCTCTGCTCGGTGTAAAGCCTCAACCTCCGCCAGCTGCAAAAGTGGTGATCCTACGTCTGGTCGAAAATCGATAATTTTAAGAATTTTACATTTGTATATCCCACAGACGGCTCAGTGCTTGACAGCTGGGACCAAGTGAGAGACCGTTGCGAAAAAGTCACCATCCGATGCGCCGTAGATAATTCCCTCGTGCAGTTGCGAAAATGGTGACCCTAGGCCTGGCCAGAATTCTTCAAGTTTCCTCATTAAAAACTCTGTTGCAGATAAGTCACATCTAAGAAACCTTCCAATCGCCGCAAAGCCTACACCATTTGATGCCCACACCAGTTGATCCTCTCCTGCTGTTGCGCAAACGATGAACGCAAGTGCGGTCAAAAGCTGCCAATTTTGACGAATTTCAAAACTTAGCCGCTTTAGAGTTACCATTTATGCAACCGCAGAGTGTGTAACTTATGGCCCGTCGAATGGTGAGAGCCGGCATGGGCCGGACTACATAACAACAACGCCTGGCCTTGAGAACCAATCACAGCAATCTGTTTGTGATAGGTTTTCCAATTTCCCGTCTTGTTTAGTAAAAGACTCCATGCCAATTGTTGTTCTGCCAGACACTTGTATACTACGAAAATTGTTCCATTTGCATAATTATGACGATGTCAAATAAAAATAGAACATTTTGAGCTGCCCTACATCGATACCTGTTTCATTTGCATGCTAACCTTGCACAATCAACTGCAAATAGTTTGTATGCGTGATTTTGGATCTGGTGACAGCTTGCTGCACTTGCCCTGAACCCACCATTAAGAATCATTCCGGATCATGAAATAATCTTATCTCTTATCCGTCTGTCAGACAAGACAGCGAAGGGTTTTACGTGGCGTGCGCTACCGTCAAAAGCGTGCCATGTGCCAGGTTGACTCTCCCTTGGAAGTTATCAGCTGGATGTTCCCATGTCAACAGAGCCAAATAGTGTGCCCTATCTGGGACTCGTACATAATACGAGTGACTTCGGGGCCTGGAATCCTTATCACAAGCGTCGATCTTCTTAACGGGACTTTTTGTGATTTTCTTCTTTACCGAGCACACCCTCTAAGTACACACTCAATGGAAGGAACCGAGATGCTCGGTTCAGAACGGCTCCTTACAATCGGAAACATTCTCCTGACAGAAAATAATGCCTTCGGTCCGAACTTGAAAGTTATCGATGCATGTGGCTGAAATTCACACAGTGGACATCAAGGAGTGTTGCCGCCACTGTGACGAAACCCGATCACTGCATTGCCCTGCTGAGTGGCTTGGAGTCCTGGTAAGTACATCCGGTCTCCTAAGTCTGCAACCACCAGCTCTTGGCTGTGCAAGTCAGCAATAACAGCTCCGGTACCATCCGCAGAGGGCAGCATCTTTGCGTCGTTTGACAGTCTGGCGAGCGGACCCTACCTGAGGATGCGGAAGAGAGGTCAGTGTCTGGCTTGACACTCCACCTCCTGATCCGAACAGCTGTGCCCACGACCGGCAGATCGCGGTTATCATGGTTATCGCAGTCATCGCGGTCGCAGTTCCGAATGTCAGCTTCAACTCGCTGTATGCCGAAAAGCCACAGTAAAAGTCATTGCTGGGCTGTGCATGCAATTGCTGGGTGTGTGTTGGTGCGCACAACACGCCAACGTCGCTCCACTTGTCAAGGCTTCAGAGATCCACCCCCATAGCGCGCCGGTCGGACGCCAGCCGCGTTCCAAGGTTTGTGAGGCACCGGGGCCTGTGCTCGTCGCCAGCTAATCAATGTCGGCCATGTCCTGGCAGCAGATGCCAGAGCCCGAGGCCAGACCCAGTCTTCCGCGCAGTCCGACGGCGCCTGCCGGTCGCCGCCGGCGCAGTCCGACGGCGCCTGCCGGTCGCCGCCGGCGCAGTCCGACGGCGCCTGCCGGTCGCCGCCGGCACAGTCCAACGGCGCCTGCCGGTCGCCGCCGGCACAGTCCGACGGCGCCTGCCGGTCGCCGCCGGCACAGTCCGACGGCGCCTGCCGGTCGCCGCCGGCACAGTCCGACGGCGCCTGCCGGTCGCCGCCGGCGCAGTCCGACGGTGCACTGAGCGACCAGTCGGCAATGCCAGCAGCTGACGACTGCAGCGGCGAGGCACGTCCTCCGCCAGGCGACGGACGCGTGCCACCCCTCAAGCTGCCGACCGATGTACTCCACGTCACCCCAGAGACAAAGACCGCGCTGCCGGAGGGGGCCTATAGACCTGCTGTCAGTAAGTGCTCTTCCTAGTGACTTTTGCTAATATAGGCATTAACCATAGTGGTTTCCAGGAAGGACTGACATTTATTGGATATTTAATCATTGCACGCAGGGGCGCTGACGGTATCTTAGAGAAGAGGGGGTGTGGCACAGGTTTGATAAAGATGGCCCTATTATGGTGAAGGGGCCAAATATGACCGTGTTTGGCCCATTAGATTTCGTCGGGCATGATGTTCTTCGCTTTGTTATTATGCATACCTTCCTTAACTGAACAGAAGGCATAAATTAGTACGTTTTGATAGCAATCCAGGCGTATGTTTTGCCTTTGCAATTTCTAGATTGATGTTAGCAGGGATGAACATTTACGAAACCACGAAGCTGAAAAAGTAGCAACAAACTATCTATTTGTCATGTTGCTGTAATAGTTAATCTGTTCAGAGGGTGGCCTCAAAATTAGCAAATGAAAGATACGGCCCAGTGAAATCTTGAAACGGTACGAAGTGATTGCAAAAGGTTTTACGAAGCGTTGTTTTACAACAGTGGTTTTTCGATCCAACCTGTTGAACACTAAGGACCCTTCCTTTTTCCTGTCAATGGGCCCCGTGCGTAGAACGCTGGGGACACCTTATTTTTCCCGGTCAGGGGCTGAAGGGCCATTCCGTCCTAGTGCGCGGCGCGCTGTGTGCCTACTGGCTACCATCATAATAACACGGGCAAAGATAACTTGGTCATCAGGAGGCGCTTAGAGAGGTGCATCACACATTAGTCCCCTTCCTGACGCGGAAGGCCCTCTGATCCGGGACATTGGCCCCAGGTCGACCCAGGGGCCTTCGTTGAAACAAAGCGGTCCATTATCGCCATAGGGGATCCAGTAATTGGCCAAGAGATTTCAGTTTGGCTTAGAAGGAGTGCGCCACATGATCACTGTGTGCAGTTCGCAGCCCTGACATGTTAGGACCTTTACCCTTCTAGTTGTTTAGCTATACGCCCGCGAATATGTGCAGACTATTGCCAAGGTCACTCGGGCATTTATGACGCGATAATAACTCAATTCAAACCCTGCCGTTCCATTGGCCATTCGGCGATCGAAGTAAACAAAGATATCATTGTCAAGTCGTATATATCTGGCTTTGTGAGCACGATATCAAGAGACATCGGCTGTCAATGGGCTCTCAATTAATACTCTGCAAGGTACGATGACGCAATCAATCAATGACCTGTCGGGGAACATATTTACTGAACAGAGAAATCCTGTTGTTTAGAGCAGCATTTGCCTCTAAAAAGTATGCCAGTGGTTGTGCGTTACGTGCGTGCGTTAGTTGTGCGTTAGTTGTGCGTGCGTATACCAGCGCGTTTATTTCGTCATATCTGATGCTTGCTTTAATATCTTGAAATGTGGGGTATTCTCATTAATGAGTCCTTGGCTGAAATGGGATGCAGGGCCCCGCTCGGTATCAGGACCCTTGATTGGCACAGGCATCTTCCATTGCCTCACAGAAGAATATCATCTCATATCAAGTTCTCATATCTCATTCCGTTGTTGCATTGTTTCGCATTCCATTTCATGTCACATGATCTCGATCAACGCGAGAGGTTCTGTGACCTTTGGAGTCCTGTCCCCGCCCCGGTTCAGCAAATGCTACCTGGCCGAGTCGGGGCCACTAGCCGGCACAGGAACAACTGGTCATCGCTGTGAGTCTCTGACCCACACATGGGTCTCTCATTGTTTTAGGGGCCCCTACCAATGCAAATCTCGGGCACCGGCTTGGGAAATGGCCCCCAGGGCTCAGATCAACACTGAGCCGACTGTTTGGTATTGGTAGTGCCCGGCCTACAAAGAGGCCCTCATGGACCTCGGGGAGCCTCGATCGGCGCAAAGGGCCCTCTACCAGGCATTTAAGGGCTCGGCCCTACATGCCGAGGCCCGTTAATACGACCTTCAGCCAGCGCTTCGGGCCTTCAAATCGGGTCATTCATCACCAGTTCTGAGGGGCCTTCACGAGGCGCGGACATAACCACGCTGCTCACAGGTGATTATGTTTTCCTGGTCAACAGTTTGACATAAACGTAATTACTCAGGACGTGCACGTAATAGCTTTTTATAAATCGTGACTTGATTCCTTTAAAGGAAGCCGAAGAAGTTCTTTTGCCTTCATTAAAGGCAGATGACTATATTTATGAGCGTTGCATGCTTCCACCGTCATTACATGATCTCGGTCACGTAATGCGGCCGAGACATGATCTCGGTCACGGCTCGTCGCATCCAGCAGATGCGTGAAAAGGCGGTAGAAATGGTTATCTGCAAAGAAAGCATAAGGTGCTGTCTGGCAGTCTGCGCTGACCTGTTCTGAACTGAACTGAACTGAACTGAGCTGAACTGAACTGACCTGACCTGACCTGACCTGAACTGAACTTAACTCAAATGAACGAGCGGAACAGCTCTGAGCTGAACGGAGTGGTTTACTCGCTCCTTGGATCTCTACAAACTGCAATCGTGTCCGAGCATAGCTGGTCGCACCCAAAGACGGTCGGCTTTCTTGCTTGCCGATAACACGCCGTCGCTTTCACAGAACGCGCGATTACCGATATAAACATATGTCCATGGTGTACGCTCAGTGCCATTTTTGCATGTGTCGTACGGTCGTCGCGCACATCGTGCTTCGGGAAGGATGTCGCCTAGCCGGGCGCAGAGCCGCTCGGCTCGATCAGCGGAAGCACACAGCCGCGATCGCCCTGTCGCTTCCATCCTGTCGCGACCGCCCGCCCTGATCACACCCGCGCGGGAGCACCGCCCTGCTGCGACCGCCATGTCGCGACCGCCCGCCCTGGTCACACCCGCGCGGGAGCACTCCAGAGCCCAGACTAGAAACTGACCTGTCACTTTACTGTCGCTCTGATTTTTGTACATGTTTTTGCAACATTATCTAACGGATTAATACGATTAGATTCGCCACCATAAGTGTTATGTTTACAGTTTAACTCTTCAGTGAAACTGACAGAGAATCAGGACGGTCAGTGTGATAGGGGAGTGACGAATCTGTTTCTGGACGGAGTCGGGCCTCTTGGAGGTCAACGGGTAACCACGCTCACAGAACACTCGTGTCGCGGCCGGCGCACTTCCGTCAATAGTGGTGACAATACCTGAACCTTTGGAGCGGCTACAAATCTTACAACACGGGTCGGACACCCTTGACTTAGCAACGAATGCGTACATTTTCAGATGAACGCGACGAGAGGTGTGACGTACAGACCTTCGGCCAACAATTTAATTGGTAATGACCACAACACGCTAGCTCAGTTCGGCGGACTGTGGGAGTGGGGGAAGACATAGGCTCATAATCAAGCATCTTAATGCTAGGCTCCTCCAGGCAGGGCACTTCGATGTGCGCGTATCTACGACATATTAAAAAAGTCGGATGATTGGTACGCTGTTATCATGTCGCGCGTTATATTTCCACATTCCTTTACACCATTGGAGATTATCACTCAACATATGACACGAGCGGTGCCACCTAATTTGTCTGATATACCATGCTGTGTGCGTAGCAGTTCTCATCCTGGGCACAACCGTGATTAACATTCGATTGATCCCGGTCATGACGGTTTTTGACGAGATTTCTACTTGGTCGAACTTAGTCATAAGCTGACCAAACGCACCAAATCAATGCACAATTCACTGTATTTGTCACAGAGCCACCAATCCTGTATTGAGACCTGTTTTGCATCATCAAGGATTGGAGCGGACGATGGTAGGGGTGAGGAAACAGGTCTCTATCGGGCCTGCGTACTCAGCCGCTGTCAGGTTGATGACGTGACGTTGCGCAAATGTTTGTGTTGCGTGCGCTGCGTGTTTATTGGCTGTCTGTGCGGTATGTATTACCAGACTGTATGCGTGGACGTCTCCGCCCAGTATATGTTTCGTTGACCGCCTATCTTTAGTTTGCAATGATGGCAGTGCCGAAACGATGTCTGCTGCACTACCTGTTTGTATCACCCACTTATACTAATCGAAACAAAATGTCCCAGCAGAGTTCTCAAACCACTCATAAATCAAACCTCGCATACATCTGGCGCTGGAACTTCAAGTGCAACTAACGCGATCTACGATACAGAGATCAGCAAGCGGTCAAAGCTTTGAAGAATATGGCGGTGGTGTGGTCCAAGCTCAGCCCATCGAAATGTGCGAGTTCAGAGCTCATTGCAGCGATACATGGGGGTCATTGACTGCTCTCGTCTTGCGAGGCCAGGGCACCTTGCGACGATGAAGGACACGTCATTCCGAGTGGTGTCATCGACAGGACGACAGCTGTCACTGGAGACGGAGCTGCTGGAGTTACTGCACGACTTCAGGAACAACAAGTACACTCTGTCGGAAATAAACGCTATCGCCCTATCGTGGACCACCCGCAAAGACTTCAAGGAGGCTATCCGACAGGACAACGAGCGGAGGATGCGGGAACGCAACAAACACCAAAAGCAGGACTATTTGGGACTGTTCAGCAAGCTCTTCAACATCATGACCCCATCCAAACGTGAGCACCTGGAAAGCTTGTAGGTGGAGTTATACGGTGCATAATGTGCGTTAACTGTAGGCTCAACGTCATGAGCCACCTTAGCCTGGACGTGAAATAATTACCATGGCACGCGTCTGTGTTTTAAATGTTGACCAATGTAAGCGTGCTTTCGTGCTTGGTGGACGGAATTTTAAGGAAAACGCTAACCCCTTCGCACGCTTTTTCCGAACACCACTTTTGGGAAACTTTGTGAACCACTCTACTACAGGCGATCATGACTTGTTGCCAATCAGCACATTTTCAAACAGAAGCCATTAATCTTGCCACACTTGTTCAGAACGTGCCACCTGTGACGTGGACAGAAGCTCTGCGGTACAGTCAAGCAGGCTATGTTTTACAGGTAAAACCAAACAGGGTTGCCCAACCTCAGCGACATACCAGGAGCACAAGGTCAAGAAATGCTACAGGCAATACTGCCCGATGCCTAGAAAAGCAACCTTCCAGTCATACCATCAGCATCTTGCCAAGGTCAGTGAGCACGTCAATATGTGCGCTGATGGTATCTTCTAGAGACCAGAGATTAAGTAAACCGAAAACCGACGTGGAGAAATACGATTCTCGGTCGACCAGTGGTGATAATATTTTGGATCAGTAATTTCTGAATGTCATGATAAAAAGTTACCTAGCTTGGTTAAAATTACATGAATAAGTCAACAATAATGGGTAAGTGTAGTGCATCTAACTGGTTTTGTGGCTTAACTGCATACCGTATGTTTGATATGATATTGCTGAGCGTGTGTGCTTGAGTGTTGTGTCCCTGAGCTGTGTTTCATGTGTGCCTTCGATGTATTGCTGTGTAATTATCGCTACGCGTGCCCTTCTTAACATGTCTCTCCTTTTTTCTTATCGACTTGACACTCAGAAAACCTGTTTTATGTTGGAGAGCGTTTAAACGTCGATACATACATGCATACATGCCTTGAAACAATTAGTCTATAGCTTCGTAGATAAAATGAAGAAGCCAGTCATTAAAATGACTGCTTCACATTTGTATGGGGTTTTAAATCGAGACAGCCATTTTTAAGATCATTCGGACCAGTTCCCAGCCCTGTCATTGTTAAAAGGAATGTTTCACATTTGAAGATATTGAAGCAAGCATCAGATATGATGAAATAAGCTCACTTATAACAACTGGTATACTTTTAAGTAGAAAGACTGCTCTAGATACCAGAAATTCCCTGCATAGTAAATAGGCTCCTTGATTACACAACATTGATAAGCCATTGACGGCCGTTTTATCTGGAAATCGTGCTCACGAACGCCGGATATGGCCGACTCGACCGTTACCTTTTTCGCAGCCTTGGTAGTCACATGGCTTATGAAATGCAAGATTTAAATGATGTTATTACGATGCCATAAATGCCATGATGATTTTAAAATACTCTGCCAGAGAAACTCTCCCTATTGTCGCAGGCGTGTAGCTTAGAAACTAGGGGGTCTTAAGAAGGGCGGGGCTGTGAGATGCACTAAAAGGTCTTCAGTATGGCTAATTGGTTAAAACCCCATATAAATTTTACACACTGCCTTTAAGGCCTGAAACGCTCTAGTTTCTGAGTTGCACGCCAAAAAAGTGTGCAGACAGTTTCGTGCAGAACGCTTCAAGTTCATTTGGTCATGCATGACGCCATACAAACGTCATTCAAATGTTGCCTGCCCATCAGCCATATGGTGTTCAAGGCCCAAAGAATAGAATCGACGAGTCGTTCATATCTGGCGTTCTGAAATACGATTTCAAAATATAACGGACATCATTAAGTTTCAACCAATGTCGTGCAGGTTGTGAAAGTTTTAATCCCGAATCGCGTTTTGTGCTACATAAGACAAGGTGTTGTACATTAGGGTGTGTCATCGAGGGGGTTAATCTCTTGGAATCAAGTGAGACAAAGTCTTTCCTTGGCACACGGATTTATGATGAAACTTAATGCCTGTCGCACGGCATCATTGCACCATTCGGGACGCGAGAGCAGTTTTTTCCTTGATAGACAAAAAACTGTATTAGATACTAGCGCCACCTATTTTGCGCACTGGGATCATCCTCCAACAAGCATCAAACTTGCCACTTTCCACACTACTTGTACCTGATGGATCAAGTAGGAAATAAATGTTATGAAGAACACCAGAAAAACATTGCCAAAAAACTTAAGCTGACTTTTTAAAGTACATTGATTTTTGGTAAAACCCAAAGTTGCGCAGTTATGAGCTGTTCTAGCCGACGGGGATAGGTTAGGGGATAGGGGATAGGTTAAATGTTTCGATTGTTAACGCATCATGTTGACGTTGATTTACAATTTATATGGTTGTTGTGAGGCGATATGGGTCTGTTAGTTTACTTTGTCCGTTAATGAAACATTACTTTCGAACAAATACTTGCATAAGCATGTCGAAGGCTACCCGGTCGCGCGCAAAGCATTTTGTGATCAGCCACCCGGCTCCGCTGTCCCACCACCAACTGCCGACTACGGGAAAGCCTTGAGCTGCATCAGGTGGCTGAGCGAATCGAAGAGGAATCTCACTAATACCATCTTCAAGACCGCGACGGTAGAGATCATGAAACTGCTGGACCAACGAAGCGATCCCCGTTCATGAGCTAAAATATGTGGCAAAGTTGATCCAGATGGATTGCTATCATGCCAACGGAGCTATGAGCAAGAAATTAAAGAAAGAAAGAGAGCGACACAGCAACGCCGCCACTGCGAAATACAACATGCGTTTCGATGTCGCGAAATGCAAATGGTAGTCTCAGCGCAGCTTTCCATGCCCAATTGCCTGCACAATGTATCAAGAGGATGTTGCCTTGAAGGGCCAGTGCGGGCACCGGAAGCTTAACCTGGGGTCGTATGGCCGGGATGCGACCGTGACTAGGGAGGCTCGCGAGGTGCCGAGGATGGCCACACAACTTTAGGGGCGTCGTGGATCGGCCGCCAGTGAGGCGATGTCTGCTGCTGAACCTGAATCGCCTTCCCCGCCGACTGCTGAGCCCGCGCCGCCTGCTGAACCAGCGCTGGCTGTTGGTGCTGAACTCGAGCTTGCTCCGAGACCAAGCGGTCTCGGCGTTGGCGAGTCAGCCGAGAGCAGGGATTCTTACGCGGTTCCGCACATGGTAGTTGGTGGCGACGACGCCGATTGCTCGCTCCGGTTGAGACCACTGTCACTGCAGATTGTAACATGAGCGACCTGACTAACGTCGCTCTGGCGGTTGACAACTACGGTGGCTCGAAGCGGGCCGCTGCTGCTATCATCAACGCCTTTCAACAACACAGCAGAGGCGGACTAGCTACTTGAAGTTAAATATCGTAGATCGTAAGAAGATCTGCTACGCAAGAGACAGAGCAAGGAAGGAACCGGTTCGTCAAAATGCTGATGCAATCCACGAGTCAGGGTTGACCATCCTCTTCTCCGACGGCCGCGAAGGAGGGAGATACATGAGCCACACAGAGCTAGACGAATGCCGTCGAAAAACACGTGCTTGTCATCGCTGAGCCAGGCAACCGCTACGTGACTCATTTTACGTCCGAGTTCGGCCGCGCCTAGCACTTGCTCAATGAGCTACATTCCGTCAGCTCGTAGTGCGACGGTCACATCAATGTGCTCGGCTGCGATAGCACGGCCGTCCACACCAAGCGATAGGCGACGTGCTCCGGCTGTATGAACTGACTACCGAGTCACCCGTACACTGGTTCATCTGCCAGCCGCACAGCAACGAGCTGAGCCTCCTCCATCTGCTGCTGATCTTGGACGGCACGAACCCGGGATGTATTTTTTCTGGACCTATCGGCAAGACCTGCGCCGGAGAGGCCTGGGAGAGGGACGATGTGGCATTCAAGCCTATGCCGGGGCACGTGCCAAACCTGCCGGTCGACCTGATTCAGCAGCTGAGCACTTACGGTTGCTGTACCTTCTGGCCTCGGACATTCAAAACTGATCTGTCCGAAACGTGGCAGCCCAGCGGCGAATCGGACCATCGAACCATGCCAGGTGAATATGAAAACACATTATCCTAGAATTTATAGAAATAGGTGCTTAAATTTCATCAATTATTAATTGATATTTCATGCACCCACTGTTGAGCATATATTTATTATCATACCTTGTGCCGTAGTATGTCATTTAATTTGCTCGTTGATTCGTGCTTGCTAGTATATTTGTTGATATGCATTCCGTCACATGTAAGGACTCTGGATATGAGGATAATTACATACACTAAAGAGACGCAATAACTTTTGTATGATCTAATGATCAGTTTGTAACGAATTGCTCTAATGTACTCGCTTTTGTTTTCAAATGGTTGAGCTGGTCGCTCGCATGCTCCTAGTTAACATCTCTACCGAGACGTCCAGCAACACTCCGAGAACCTCGTCCAGTGCGTGGTCGGCCACTATGTGCCGGTATGGTCCGCCATCCGGCAGAACAGCAGCTGCGACTTTGGCTTACGTAACTTGTTCCTAAACATCGCGCTGCTCCGCGAGCTGCTGCAGCAAACATAGGCCATGGTGCAGCCAGTTCCCCAGCGTAACGGGTACTGGGTCCGTTCGGAACAGCTGCTGCTGGACATGGTATGGGATGAGAACCGCATGGTCCGCGAACAGGCGGTTCCGATCGTCGCGCCGCTCGTGGGCAGCAAACCGAGGGTCTTCTTCAGCCCAGAGTCTTCGCCATCCCAGCGATAAATTTCGATGCCGTGAGGTAAACCGAACTGATCCCCGGGCACGAACCAGTCACACATGCTCCACTGCGAGACCTCAGCGACTGCGAGCAGCGGAACAAAGTGCAAGCTCCGCTGCCCATCTCATCCTATTTGGTTCACACTAGGAGTGCGACCAGCGCCGCACAGCCGAGGACGTCTGGGGCTGGAGCTGGAGCTTCGGCAATATATGGAGCCCAGCTGCGACGGTATTCCTGCTGCCGTGCGATCTCCAACAACGCGCATTTTGGGTTTCCAGTCTGTGAGGAGCTGCTGTTTGGGCCGGTGCATCGAATGCGCAGGCTCGGCAAGGAGCAAGATGTACATGGGGTCACCCTACTCCCTGCTCCACGCCCGTGGTATAGGCTGCAGAGCTTGCTATATGTATTAAGCTGTACACCAGACAATATATTCTGAGTCATATGCTACGCATGGTTTTGTTTGCATCATGTGAGTTGTCTTCGAGAAGCGAAAGTCTAAAGCAATAATAACCAATAACCTGGTACAACGTGCTCATACTCAACAGCACATAAAGTTTCCGCCATATGGCAATCAATCGGGCAATGTCTGATCCGCATATTTGACCTTAGACTGTGGCATTCTCGTATGACGGCTTAAGGAGCGCTCGGTTACATCGCTTCCATATTCAAATGTATTTTGTATCGCTTACTGCACACGGCTTGGTGTTACATACGGCGGCGGGCGCCGCCAAGCTCAGGATGACTGCAACGCCGGGCGTCGGTTTACGGCGATATTTCGATCGGCTCGCCCGTCACGAGTTTAAGTTTTTGGGAAAAGCTATTGCTATGCCGTGTACTTTTGAACTCCTGCGCCAAAGAATCGCTTTGCCTCGCTTGATTTGGTTTCTGATGACACACCCTATTGTACACCCTTGTATTATGGTGCACACAACGCGGTAGTTATTACGGAAGTAAGGCTTGTAATGGAATAACTTGAAAATAATACACAATCACACGATATTTGGCGCACGGAACACCTCCAGCACCGCGTCAGTTTCCTCTCGGGAGATTTAAGTACTAAAGGTGAGTGCTAAGGTGACACTTTTGTACGGTCAGTTTGGCAGCACCTCAGCCTCATACAAACACCCCACGATGTAATCAGGCATTGGCGTATTGATGGTCATATTTAGTGAATGTAAAAATGTCTCCTCTTCAGCAATATGCTTACAAGTGTACCATTCGCTATAACAGAGCTTATTTCACCATATCTGGTGCTTGCTTCTATATCTTCAAATGTAGAGCATTCCCTTTAAAGACTTGCGTTGAGCTACCCACTAGCGCTATCGCTTTTACAATAGTTCATGCAACCTTTCTGAACCACTGCAAGTCATGAACGTCACTGGAATGTTTTTTCTGGGTTCTGCGAGAATATTTTGGTTCGTGGATTGTAATCAAAAAAAGGAATCGAAACATATATCTGTGGTAAACCGATGTTTGCTCTAAGGCTTCCATTCATTTTTCCTAATCGATTTCACCTGGAGACGTTTATTTTTATTTTTTCCTATTTATTTCCGTTCCGTCCGGTTTATGTCGGTCACTTCCGCTGGCACCCGATATCGTCTGATCTACAAACAAGTAGATGGGATCGATCTACTTGATCCCGTCCAGTGAGGATCGGTCCAGTCGGGGCCCGTTTGGCCCGTCCGGTCTGTCCGGTCTGCCGGGTACCACCTAGGCCCGTATGGCCTCATAACTTTATGTCAGAAAAAGGCTTTCGGCTTTTGGTTTCTTCGGCATTATGAAGTGAAGTTCTTGTATGACATACCACCTTCATGTGCCGGGAGGTATTGATTCGATTTCGTTGTAATACTAAATAACGTTTGCGTTGACGACGATCAGTATTTTGAGCTATGCTCATACTTGGAGACTTGAAAAAGAATAGCCAGCTAAGTGCTGGTTACTTTTACGCGCGCACCTCAACAGCTAAAAGGACACAAGGTTCGTTCGTCCTCAGAACCCACCCCCGGAGCCAAGAGGCGTTCCACTCACGCCCAAGACGCTGGCCTCCGCCGACGCTGACGCCACGACCACCACTCTCCGCTTCGTCTCCGCTGCCTCAGCCACTGCCACTGCCACCGTCGTCGCCCACACCGCCGAAACCGCCCCGTCGCCGACTCACTCGGCCGACTTGGAGAGCATGGTCCTGAACACGCCCCCAATCCTGGTGCCGCCGCTGGTGTCAGGCAGGCCCGACTGGGGCTGGAAAAGGGACGGAGCTCCGGCCGCTCGGCGATCGCCGCCGCCGCTGCCGGTGCGGCGGCCTATCAAGCGGCCGTAAAGCCACGCGGACGCCGGGCCCGGGTGTTGTGACCTTCCTTGTGATAGGTGTGCCGTGGCGGATGACTTCGCGTTGGCGGGCTACGTAGCAGAGCACGTGGAATGCCGCAGATATTGGGCACGCATGTATGCCGACCTCGCGAACTGGAAAGGCACATCAACAACATCCCAGCAGTGTTCATTGGCAGTAACCAGCCGTAGTGTCTTCTCAACACCTCAAGCCGAATATTGACGACGGACTAGGCTGTTTCGTCTCTTCTCTAGGCTAGCCATATAAACACTAAGACGACCATGTAACGTTAAAGGGCCATGTTAACATGGAACGGCCATGTTATATGATAAACGTCCGCAAACATGCAATCAATGATCTTGATTTTTAGCAAGTGCTGCATAATATTTTGCCGACAATATTTGGACCATGATTCCTGTCCCACTCGGCTCCCGACATCAATATCAATGAAACCTCCGTCTACAGGCGACGGTGAGCTGTTTCAGTGTACTCAGTGTGCCCGTGACATTCATGAGACTGGGTTGTGACATGCGCAGTAGGCAATGATCAGGTCGTTGCAAACAATACACTGAGTGGCTGCAATATGCTGTATATTTTGACATGCGATGCGACATGAGTATCAAGTCATAAACTTGTCTTTGATGTGCATATTTTTCCGGACAGCATCAATCCTCAGTGCGTTTAAGATTGGTTAAGCATCCTTGGTCACTTATTGACATGTTTTATGCAAGAAATGCTGAGAACTGGCGGGTTAGACTCTTCACGTGCAAGCCGTCCTTAACGCATGCGTAGACTTTCGGACTGTGTGTGCATGCACGTTTTGTGCGCTAATTGTTTTTTTTTTTACCCGCAGAAACGAGCTGTCGGTCTCCACCATACTTATTTTGTTGAATACAGCGCACGATGTCGTATGAATTTGCACAAGCATGACACCAAGCTTCCGTCAGCACAGGTACGGACCCAGACTTGAAAGGCGGCAGCGGGCCTGTGTCGAACTGAGCCGAATACTGGTGCACAGTTGCTGTCCCATGTCATAGGAAGTACACACTCGGCGGCAGCGGGCCTGTGTCGAACTGAACCGAATACTGGTGCACAGTTGCTGTCCCATGTCATAGGAAGTACACACTCGGCGGCAGCGGGCCTGTGTCGAACTGAACCGAATACTGGTGCACAGTTGCTGTCCCATGTCATAGGAAGTGCACACTCGGCGGCAGCGGGCCTGTGTCGAACTGAACCGAATGCTGGTGCACAGTTGCCGTCCCATGTCATAGGAAGTACACACTCCACCGTGGCTTCATGCACAGTAAAGCAGCTTCACACCTAAGAAGTAAAAAAACGGACAATACTTGTACATTTCATGGAAATGTGGGGTGCTAATAGGCGAATAACTACATAAATCAAGGAATGGGCTTTTGAGACTTAAGTATATCACGTAACAGTCATACCCCAAGACCGGCTCTGCATTACGATCCAAGCAATTGCTGCATCTGGGGCAAGACTACGGAGTCTTGAACCGAAATTGGTGGGAAAGGATAATAAGGATAAAGAAGCTGAACGGATATCGATTAATCCGTACCCACATGCACTCATACGGGCTGCGCTGGCGGAGAGAGCGAATGGCGCACGCAGCGCTTCCAGCGGCCGGCACGCGAACTAAGCCGGCGTCTGGTCCTCGAGAGCCGCATCAAATAAACAGAGCACGTGGGTCAACGAATGTTTTGTAACACATTCTGTACGATTAACCTTATATTCAAAAATGTTTCAGTGCATCCAATCTTACTTGTGTGCGTCTAGTCCTTCAGCTATGAGGTTTCACGTCCCGTATTTGATGCGCCAAGAGATGACTTGGGTATACGGCAACGCTATAGTTCGGTGTGACGACAACGAAATTATTTGATGCATCATCCTGCCTTCTATCCTCATTCTCGCCTTACCCTGCATCCTCGCGCGGCCCGTCTGTCTGGGGACACCTGCCTGTCAGCTGATTCAAACCCACTGAGTCATAAAGTGCGCGTGAGGGGTGCACTTGAATATTATTCGGTTGAACAATTATCAACAAGTATTGTGGATAGTGCCATAACTGTCGATCACACTATCCTCATGCAATCGAGACCTGCCCACTTGCCCCACATACGAGGCCGCCAACAGTGTGCCGACCGTTGCTAGTGTCTGTAAGTGTCGAACGTATCCATGCAAACAGCGCCGACTTACTTGCAAATAAACGCGTACACTTGACCTCTCGACCAGGTCAGGAATGAGCTTAGACGGAACGTCAGAGGTTTGTCAGGTAGCTGCGTCATACGTTGAACAGGGTTTTCCGAGCAGGGAATGGGCTTCCATTTGCCAATAAAGACCAAGCCCTTGACTTTTAGGAGATGTCACGGCCGAAACCCATTCCTTACCTGGCCAGAAAACGAAGTAAGTGCTGTTGGTTACAAGCAAGTCGTGGTTGCTTGCATGGCAATGCCTTACAACTTCGACGCGCTGTTAACAGTCTTGCATGTCGGGCCGGTGGAGGTCTCTCGCCGAAATGAGAATGGCGTGATGGACGCTGATGTTTTTTTGACAACATAACTTGTCAATAACTGCACAATCGCTGCGCGCTACATGTCTCCTAAGGCCGATCCAATTGGCCCAGTTCAAGAGCCAAGGGCCGACTGATCGTATTATAGCTTGTAGGGCTCCTTGACAGACGCGTATGACGCACTTCCATGGGCCGTGGCAGGCTGCTACCTCAACGAGCGGAGCCTGGGCCCATAAGTCTGCGAAGAACTGGGCCCGGCTGCGTCATACATACTTTGCCAATGGACAAACGCGGCCCGGGCCGGCTCGACCTTGAGTGCCCTGAGGCCAGGAGGGGCCGGGATGAGGTCGGTCAGTTAGGCAGGGCGGCCCGAGCGCGGCACCGGCCGGACGGATGTGGCGTTTTGGCACGTGGACCCGGGACAAGGTGATCCGTGACGGTGAGTACTGGATCTGCGACTCAGCGAGGGCGTTGCTTTTTGATAATTAAAAAAGAACAATGTGCAATGGAGGAAGTGTTTGGATGCGTTTTGATAAAATGTTCTTAATTGGCAATTTTCGGTTCTCTGTTTTGCGAATGTTGCAACATATGCACTGTACTGTACTGTAAAAAGCTTGCTTATGTACTCGATAACTTAGTTTGACCATTGAACCGTGCGGTCGTGCTTGACTTAAATATTTAAGGAAGAAATTCGCAGGGACCATTACTTTTGATGTTTGTACGATCTGTACACTCTTGGTTCAGCCTACCATGCTGCATTTTCCCAGAATATTGAATGACAATTACGACACAACGATATTTGCATACGCAAAACACCCACTAACCGGACGCCACCGTGGCTAAGCCACGCGCAATGCGCAGACAGCGTAGTATTTTTCTTTCACTGAGCACCTCAGTGACAAATGGCGTCACTATCCTAAGTAAGTCGGCAGTTTTCCTGGATTTCACCAAACCTTACCTTACCGAACCAACATATCATTTTCCTCGCTCCCACGACGGCTTCGCCCCACGCTCAGCTGACCCGTCGACCGCTCAGCTGACTCGTCTACCAATCATCGATCAGCGCCATCTTTTGACGCTGTGGCGCGCTGATCCGCCGCTAGCATGACTTTCATTTCCAACATTTTTCCCAACATCATCTCTTTCCCAGTTCCTTCACACAGTCTCGTGGCATTTCATTTTCTTTTCGCCGGCGTAAGATGACGCTTTTTGGCGACATACGCGCCATGTACAGCAGCGTCGGAGTGACACCAGCCCGTCTTGCGTTTCCTCGTGCGAGGAGCTGACCAGACTGCGAAACTCATGGTCAATCAAATGCTGGTGCCTGTGTTTGGTGTCTCATAATCCGCTTGTTCCGTAGACTTCGCATGAAGCAAATGTCCCGGGGACGAGAAGTTCAGTTATCGGTTCCTGTCCTCCAGAAATGCTGTTCGTAGCCGCCTTTACATCGACGATTACTTGGAATCGGATGACGGCGTTCGAGGGGTCGAGGAGCTGCACCAGTCGCTGTGCACGCTGCTCACAGGTCTCGATCTCACGAAGTGGGTGTCTCCGCATGAAGACCTCGGGCGTCATCCACAGGCAATCTTGGTTGTGGTGACTCGCCCGTTACGACAGATTTGGGCGTACTTTGGGACAAAGAATGCAGTTTATTTTGCTTTAATATGAAACTCTAAATAAGCCAGCCGCCCAAGCCGGTATGTTCAGCCGGGCTTTTTTGGAATTCGATAATCTTAACCTGATCACATATTTCTACGTTCCCTCGGAATGCATGCTGCGGAGTATGTGGCACTACTCATCCTTAAGGAGATTGTTGAAGGTGACAGCATAGATCCCAGATTTCATCCAGAGTGCGCGCTCAAGGCTACGAGAGTAGATTGGCTGCCATCCTCTCATTGTGGCTGTAGTAGCTACTGCGATATTAGCAGCATTGCTTGCGGTAGATTGGCTGGAGCGCTCGCCGCTCACACAAAAGCGGCCGCCGTGTCACAGAAATATATCGCGCGAGAAGCCGGGCCTGCCGCCAGTGCGCACTTCGGAGTTGTGGAGGAATCTTTTACGAGAAGTCCGCGAAGAGAGTGCTCTAGACAATGTTACCTGACGGCATCAGCGCCGAGACTGTACTTACCGCGATGTCTGAGGCCGAGTGTACGCTGAAAGGTGGACCTCTGGGACACGTGAGACACCACTGATTTAGAGGCTCTAACAACTGCTATCTGCTCACTGAACACGTGCGCAAAAACCTGCTCTGAGTATCCCCACAAACTGATACTTCTGTTGGGAAACGACAAAGCAGATAAAAGCATTACATTCAGAATTGTGAGCTAGGGATTTATCGAATTTTTTTCCGTTACAGCGGCCATATCAAATAGAAATTCCGAGGCTCTCAGGAACGGCGCTGCCGGTTAACACGCTCAATTTAACCTGAGTGGAAGGAAAAAGGTGGTTGACTGTAGCAACCAGTCCGTTCAGCCCGGGATTTCATAACACCTTCTAGTAAACCGTGAAGTAGGATCTTACCAGCTTCATGATAATCGCTGAGACTCTTGCTGAGCCATCAGAAGCGAAGCCGTTGAGAACATTTTGTATCTTGCCGTTGTAAAAGTGGTTCTGTGTTAGGAAAAAAGAACGATTTCGTCCGTGGTTTTTACGGGACCAGCCCTGCACGTTGGGTCAGAACTGGTAAATATGCCAATGAGCTTAAATTAAGCGAAATAGGCATCTGAGAAGTACAATACGGTCCGGTCGCTGTCGTTATCTCCTTCAGTACACGCTCCGCACATTTAATGTTTTTTTAGAATTTGAAGTTTTTGCGATAGATTCACAAGATTTCGCTCCAGTAAAACCTTTACCATGAACTTTTGGCAGGAAATGAGGTTCAACGGGAGTAGACATTTAGACAAGACAGTGCGGTGTGTTCAGAGTGTGTGTGACAGTGCGGTGTTTACAGTGTTTAGTACAGTTTAGTACAGTGTTCAGACAGTGCGGTACAAAGTTCGGGCATGAAGATATCTATGATGGGAGAAGTGAAATAGATATTTTTTTATTGATGTTCTTGTATTATCAAAATAAAGGCTCCAAGGGTGTACTTACTTCCTTTGCCATTATTGAACACACGGCACAAACGTATAATACTATTCCATACGGACGAACTCCGGACAGTCACGTCCGAAAGTGGTCCGCAAACACAATGGGCTGACTACCACCAAGACATTACATCGCTAGGGATGAAAATGCCCTTATGCTTCAAAATCTTCCACTGCAGTACGTCTTTGTGAAGTCATTTTAACAGCTTCCAAGAGTGGCAATGGGAGCGGCGATTACAGCTGGATCCAGCAATCCGGCAATGCCATTTCTCTATCAGTACACTTTCCTCTTCCTGTCAGTTAACTTTCCACCTCCTGTCAGCATACTTTCCACTTCCTGACAGTAAGCTCTCTACTTCTGTCCCACAGTCACCTTCTGTAACACCTCAGAGCTCCACCTTTAGTTCCCTAAGATCAAAATATTATTTTATTTCCTTCACCACCGCGATTAGAATGAAATTTGATTCAGGTTTTGCTGAGAAGCTCCTCTAAACATGTGCCATCTTAACCGACGCGCACATGTGCCCTGCTCAACGTGTCAGAAGAACGTGCGAACTCTGTAGAAGCAGGCTTTTCCTGTAGACCGGAAGTAAGCATCTTTTGGCCATCAATAAAAGTGAGACCAGCTTGTCTAACGAAAGTTTGATCATATTTAGATGCAGTGTGATTAAACATATATCATGTGTTTGATGCATGCATTCGCCCTTCAATCATACTGACTTATTTCAATAAGTGGCATTTGGTGGCTAGATCGTCTTTTTTTAATAAGAGACTTCCCTGCTCACTGGAAAATGCTCATGCCGTTGGCGAAAAGCTTAACGAGCAAGGACACAAACAAGCGCAAGATGCATGGCTCTATGCGTTGTGATCACATGATGTATCCGGGAAATAGCGATACTGGTAGGTGCCGATTATGAAGCTTGTGGTGTTATTAGGTGGATATTACGCCCGCAAATGCGGCATGTGAGACCAGAAACCGGGATAGTGTTTCCCTGCTACGCTGATGTAACACTGATACCGCATATGCATTGGAGCATTATACACAAAGCTTGGCTGTGTCCCAAAATTGCTTTCACGGATTGTGTTCGGTGTTTTCATTTCTACTAACCTAACCTAACCGAGTATCATTTTTGCCAAGGGCATGTAAGCCATGCTGCTTGTTGACATGCGTGCCCTTTGGCCTATCCAGCCCGGGCAAGCCGCCGATTGCAGCTGGGACATCCTGTTTGCACCGGCCCGCTGCCGCCGCCGCCGCCACCTCCCGAGTCCGATGGAGACCGACAGCGTGTTCTGGGGGGTGTCGCGACCAACGGCGCACCGTCCGGGCCTGGCCGACTGGCAGGTGGTGGCCCAGTCGGCCCGGAGCCTGGCTCGGGTACTGCTCGCTGACCGGCCACCGGCTGCACCTCCGGACGGCCCGCTCCCAGTCCGGCACCGCAGTCCGGCCGACGGCGACCGGCCCGACGACTGCCTCGTCATCGGCCAGAGCCCGTGCCTGGCGACCAACAGGTAACGACACTGTGGGCAGACCGGGTGCACCCTGACGAGGGTGGCGAGCTGTGGGCGGACCGGTCTCGCCCTGACGGGGGCGGCGAGCTGTGGGAGGACCGGGTCTCGCCCTGACGAGGGTGGCTAGAAACCGTGCGGCTCATGTGCTCTCGAATGCCGGAATTGTAATGCTGTTGCTCCACGTTGTGTGTTCGTTCTGCTGCGTCCGAATGATGTAGCTCTTGTTTGGACAGATTTCTATATGTTGTAGCGTTCAGGACGTCATCAGCTGTCTGATATATTCATCCGAATAGTACCCAGTCACTGTGCCACCATTTGCGGCTGATTACGCCGTCATTCGAGACCAAACTGTGCACCACCGTCCACCTGCTGACTGTGCCACCGTCCGCCTGTTGACTGTGCCACCATCCGCCTGCTGATTGTGCCGCCGTCCGCCTGCTGACTGTGCCGCTGCCTGCCTGCTGACTGTGCCGCCACCTGCCTGCTGACTGTGCCGCCGCCTGCCCTGCTGACTGTGCCGCCGCCTGTCGGCAGGATGGACCTGGCCGAGTACGAGCCGGTGCGGCAGGGTGCAGTGAGTACCGCGCCATCCAATCCCCAGTCCTCCGCCGACCGGCCACTCGGCGTCGACCTGGGCAACGCTGACGTGCACGCCATCGACGCATTCCGCCCGTCCACCGGCCCTGCTCGACCCGTGCCAGCTGGCGTTCGAGATGCTGGACCGCGAGCTGTTCGAGATGATAGCGTTCAAGACCAACGCGCACGCCCGTCGCCGCCGCGACACGGAGCCCTTGCTGCACGACTGGGAAGGACACTGACACGGGCGAGCTGCTGCGCTTCTTCTTCGCGGCATCTCGTCCTGATGAGCGTGCGGAACACGGCAGTGGCCATCGACGACGCGCTGGTGTTCCACCACCCGCTGATGGCGCGGCTGGTGTCGGCGCGCCGCTTCCTGCAGCTCAGCTGGGCGTGGCGGCTCAAGGACGACGACCAGACGCCGGACCAGTTCGTCGACTTCGCCTGCACGCTGTTCAGCGACCGGTATCAGCGGCTGCTGATGCGGACGCCGCGCGTTATGAGCCTCCAGACGTTCCAGCTCTACTACCATTGTGATCAGCAGTGCGCGCCCAACGCGTCGAGCCGGGTGTCGGAGCTTCAAGACTGGCCGCTACGTTGTGCGTGTGGTTTTCCACAAGCGGCCCGAGGACACGGTGCGCAGCGGCAACTGGAACACAATGAGCACAGAGCTGCTGGAGAAGCTGTTGAACGGTGTGCCGTTGACCGGCGGTTACTTTACGGCCGCCGGCGGGGCCACCGTTGACATCGCTAAATTTTTCCATGTAAGTCACCACCAGCCTGTCTTGCTATGTCCGGTGGCAGCTGCTTCCATGTGCGTCATGTGATTGGCACAGCGAACACTGAAGGGCAGATAGAGTGTGGTAAACGGTGTAGTGAGTAAGCGTTGACAACAGTCTCGCTATCCCTTTCGAAGAGATGAAGGTCAGAATAGCAGACTGATAACCTGCGCCCTCTCGTCGACAGCAGCGGGGTGCCTTCTTCGTCGGCTCCGTGGGTGCGCAGACGTACAGGCTGTTGCATCCGGAAGGCGACGGCATACCGGCGCCGGAGCCGCCCAGCACGGCCCTCTACGTGGAGCCGTGGCCCGGCATTCGGGAGGTGGTTCTGTTGCGGGAGTACTCGCGCAACCCCAACTGCCGCAGCTTCATCGGATTCCCAATCACACACCTGCAGCAGACGGTAGGTTTCGGTCAACAGCCGATGAGTCGAGACTTATGTGCCTGCTTGCCACTAGAATAGGGCTCAGCTTACAGAACAGAAATCGTGGGCATGATTTCAAGTGGAAAAGTGCTTGCGCTTCCATGCAAGAGCCACGAGCTTGCATCAGAACAAACTCAGACTGCATGAGACTAGGAGACTCCACCAGTCTTTTCCGTGATTGCGTGTCCAACTATTTCAGCACCTGATCTGCAACATCGGTGCCGGTGCAACGGTAGCCAGGAGTACAATGGAACCAGTGGAAAAGCCTCAACAACAACGCATGCCACAGAACCTTCGCCACCTACACAGCCTGGCGCTGGCAGACCTCATTCATGTGCGCAACAACAACGTCACGGGCCGTATGCTCCTACGCGGAGGCTGCATGCTCTGGCACCAGCGCGTGCTGCTCCACCTGCTCTTCACCGGCTTCATGAACGGTTGGCAAGCGCACGCGGTCGCCACGGGCCTGCAGCTCTTCCGGATGGAGGCAGCCGACGACATTGTGCACCACCTCACAGGCTTTATGCTCCAGTACGCTCTGGAGTGCGATAAGCCCTCGGTGCGTCGCACGCAGCCCAGAGCAGCGGCCGACAGCGATACCGACGAAGAAGAGGAGCAAGCACCGGGCACAAACGCCGAGGCACGGAGCACGGCACGGCCGGGTGGTGCACGAATCTTGTCGCTGGCCGTCGGGTCAGACCCACCTGTGTTGGCCACCGCTCAGTGGACGCCCACCGCCAGCACCTTCTGGGCGGGCGTACGCATGATGCCGCCCAGCCAGTATGATATGCCGACGTGCACCCACAGGAGGCACCTGATCGGCCGACGGCACACGGTCTGACGCGCTCAGTTGCGGTCCCAGCCGTGCGACGCGTGTACAGTGTGCATCGCCACCTGGGTTGCGCGGTGTGCGGCGGCCGCAGCCGGGGCAGGATCTGGTCTGGTCGCCAACACCGGCGCCTGTGTGGCCGGCATGTGAGACGCGATCGATCACGACGCGATCGCTCAGACAGAAACGCCACACAGACGGACCACTCTTCAGGGACTGGGCACGCTCCTTCATCAGGGCCAGCCGCGGCTCAGGGACTGGACACGCTCCCTCATCAGGACCACCTGCGGCTCAGGGACTGGACAGGCTTCCTTACCAGTTCCGCGGGGCGTGCGGCCCGTGGACTGAAGGCCACAATTCCTGTGTTGCAATTGCAGCTGTCTACTCTCGGTACCCCCGACGGTGCGACAGTATTTGATCCATGTGACGTCCGTCATCATTGATGTTTGAACGTAACTGACCGCCAATTTTAATTACCGGATGGGGCTACCGATGTCTGTATTTCAGGTCTTTTGCCCCCTTTTCTTGCCCATTTGTTGGTACACTTCCAACGCGGTCATTTTAAACTGGTCCTTGAAGGCCACCGGTGAAACGTGAAACGGACCTGCATGTGCTCAATAACCTTAGCATGCCTTTCAATCGGCTCAGTCACTCGCAAGTCTTGCTTCTCTTATGCGGCACTCTGTGTGAAATGAGTACGCTTGCACGCGAGTACACTCGCCAGCATGCCTCAATTTTTGGCCAATGTATGCTACCAATGGAAGGGTCGATGAGAGCCAGCATGAGATTCATGTATGAAAATAAGGAGCGTGAATGAAGGATGTTTCCCAATGATTCTCCCAGAATGCCTATGTCCGCTTCATTATAAGGGAACAGAAAATGCCGGGCTTACTTCGTTTTTTTCTTGCCTTCAAAGAGCTGTGGCAGTGTCAAATCTCCCAGTGGCGACCGGAGAGTGTAACCATATGTTACGCAAATCTACCTGACGGCCGTTAACATATGTGAAGTGGTGCCATATGTTGAGCTCTCACCTAAGTCGAGTTAGTCTGAAGCCGTCTGGCCGTGCTGGGGGTGGAGTTTCGCCACGTACTGGTCTGCTGCCCGCCATCAGGCCGTCTCCACAAGCGCAGCAGCAGCTGCTGACACCGGCGACTACACCAGGCGCTGGTAGGCTGGGCCTCTCACGGGCCTCAGCGGCAAGCCGTTTGTATGACGGCAGTGTACTTGGACGTGACCACGAACGGGCCGTGTTGCGACCGAGGAACGCGAAACCCGCTGGATCAGTACGATTCGTTCAGTACTGCGCGGTCTTACTAGCCGAGTCAGTCCACCAGATTGAATGGGGGTCGAAGTAACAAATATCAACCGTGCGGATCTATGTAGATCAAAGCCTGATTTTCATTTGATGGTCTGTCGATTGGTTTGTAAAAAAGTTTAAGAACCATGCTCTATGTCGGCGCCTGTCAACAACACATTTTAACTGATGTCAGATTAATAATCCGTATCATCCTTTGTCGTAGGAATACACGCATTCCACTTCCAATTGAGCAGGCAAGTATGCCGGATGCGACCGGCATGCCTGTAGCTACACAAATGATCTTATAGCTGTACTTAACGTGAGTTGCCTGGGGGATCTTGCGTAGCTAGTCAGCGGTGATGAAAACGGGTACGGCTTTGCACGTGCGTGGCGTCGGTCATCAGGCTGTGCAAATATTAAGGGAAGCTTAAACCGAAGACAATCCGATGCGAAACATCCTGTGGATCACATGGCTGGATATCTTTTCGATATATTTATCATTGAGAGGGCAAAATTCGATCTTCGCTGCGGCTTGCTACATGAGCTACAAAGCATGTGCCCTCTCGCATTGAGCAGAAATCAACAATAGTATTTCACTTCTTCATGACAAGAAAATTTCAATGACAAAGGCCTTGCCAACCGGCATCGAATTTTGCTGTTCTGTTCAGATGGTGCAGTCACTAGGTAGTGGGTGTATTACATTTTCAATCATATGCATCATTCAGGCTAACATCGTACAACCTGACGAAGGCAAAATTTGAGGATAGATTTCAAAATTAAGCCTAGTGTGAGCTCGTATCATCGGGGCTCGCCAAAGCAGGTAGAGCAATATAAATGCAATTAAGAGAGGCCTACTTTCAGTAGAGAAGAAACTGTCTAGAAAACCTCCAAGGTCTATTTTCTGTACGGCACAGACGTCTTGTTTGCCACGTTTGAGATTGCTGCGACTGACTACGTCAAGACAGACATCACGGATCTTGAACCGTCAAAGTCACAAACTTCAAATGTGGACACGCAAAAGTGAAAAAACACGCTACTCAACATTTCCGCACCCTACTCAGAACCGTTCAGAAGCTCTTCAGATAAATCTTGGGGGGAGGGCTTCTGAAGGTCCTCTTGTAAACCAGGATTACGGGCTCTCAAGGGCCCGTTCCTAGAACTGGATGTTCAGGCATGCGTTGCTGGACAGTATATGGTATTCATTGGTAATACGCCACCAATAATCGATATTTTCTTTTGTTGAAAAGGTACACGTAGTTGTATGTCTGCCTGCATGCGTCAGTGTGCTTTTTGCACAAGGCTCTGACGTGGGCAACATGCACAACAACTTTTCCCCGGAGGATTATTAGCCACTAGCCGGCGTGCTAGGTAAGCACGAAGAAGATAACGATACTGGAATGCCGAGTTTTTGTGAAATTACGGAAGCTTCCAAGGCCAGACAGTGTGCTGAAAGTAGAAGCATCAGCGTAAGACGACCCAAGAAGTCCCAGTACGCTGCTTTGTTTAGACAGCCAACCGTGGACGTGACTTTTGCAATCGGTTCGGAAGGGCGAGGAGGGGGCTGAGCTGATGCGATTAACGTAGCCCGCCCCCAAACCTGATGGCCTGATTTCTGCCGGGTTTTTCGGACACTTGAGTTTGCGTCAGCGACGTTTAAATTAAACAATATGCACATTTGTCGATTCCAAAATTGCCTTTGAAACCGAAGAAAACTCCATAT